TAGAGCAGAGTGTATTAGAAATATTGGGCATTTTAGGTGGAATTGAAAGTTGAGGAAGATTCTATGACCAGGCAAAAAAAAAGAAAGAGTAACTGATCATTAAAACAGAAAACATAACGTCCTTGAAAACAAGAATATTACGGGATGCATTGCATGAAATGTTTAACTTTGGAAGGTCAACGTATTAGTGAAAAATAAAAGGTATTATTTTGAAGAATTTTTTATTAGAAGACAGCAATATTGTTCATCATCTGGTGATGCGTGCGAAAATTAATCTATATCACGTTCGTTACCATCATAAATATTTCAACAACAAAAATTTCTTCAGGTGCTATATTACTCGCCTACCCCTTTTTTGAAGTATTTAGTTTTGTCACAAAGCTACAACTACTGACTAATAAAAATATTCATCAGACATGCAATAAAGAGTTGGTGATTATACGATGTCAGTGAATTACGCCATTGCTAAGGAAATGTTGACCTGTTCAAAATCTAGCAGCGCATGTAATGAGTTGTCAATTCCAGCCTTTGGTTTAGGAAACTATCACGAGAGAACGAGCTAGCTCAGGGTTATATAAAAAAAAATGTCTTAAACTTCAGACATACGACAGTTTACGGACCGAGGGTACCTTGATTTCATTAAATCTCCACGAGCGCATTTTGTGTGTTAATTGTTGTGGGTTTGCTTTGGGAAGGGGAAGAGGAAGAGCACCTTAATAATACATGGCCCTGTCAAACCATTGTAGGCCTATACAAGCAATCGTATGGTGAAATGAAAATTCATCTCACTGGGGAAATCTAAAAGATGAGGACTGGTCAAAATCCAAACGGAGAAAGCAATCAATTATTAATAATCTGCGGGCAAAACCGCGAAAGTAATTCAAATTTGGCAACTTTATCCTGAGCATTGCCAACACACTGTGCTTCGACTCATCAAGCTTTTCAAAGGAGTTTTTTCGCTAGGGGTTAATGGGTGATGGAAGGGGAGGGTGTGACCCTCAAGCAGTGGCAGACCTAGGGGGCCCGGGGGCCTGGAACCCCTCCCTTGGCAAAAAAAAACAGGTTAATTAAAATTTTAAAAAAAAGACGGGTCCCCTCCCCTTGGCGCAAGGGGTGGGGGGGGGGGGGTGGGTGTTGATTCGCCGCTAAACATTTTCTCACGAATTGGGCCCCCTATGTGGCCCCCTCCCTTGCCGCCGGCTGAATCCGCCCCTGTCCTCACGATACATGTCCCCCTCCCCCTTCCCCTCCCCATACAACAACATAATTATTATTTGGGAAAATGCAGTAGATATATTGCGCTGGTATAAACCAGTCCTCTTTATACAAAGTACCACGCCCATTAGTTATTGACCCCCTCCCCCCCCCCCCCCCCCCCAGCAAGGTGTGCAAACCTATCTGACGTATAGGGGTATATCCAGGAGCTCAAATTATCATGAGTGCTTTGGATGAATCAACCTGAACAATCTCCAACGGAAGCACAGAATCGCAAATTTGTATTTGCAGGTGAGCGAGGTACGTGGTATGTTGGCTATAAATTATAGATTATCGATTTGTTGTAAATAGTATTATATTATAATACTATTTATAACAAATCGATAACATTAGGATTTGCATTCCTAAAGTTGATCATATTTCAATGATTTGAGATAAAATGAGCACTATTTATTTTATGATAACATTTTCATTTAAGGAGGAATGATATGCAACTGAATTCTGTATTGTTTTCATATTGAATAGAGAATAAAGAAAAACAAACATTGGAGAGCGGACTTGCGCCTAATGTGTAATTTTCACTTAATTTTCATGAATAATGTTAATCACACTCACTTTTTAAATTTGGATTAATGCATTGTTCTCGAAGATTTTGATATGTAATTCAAATGTGTCAATTCAAACTCAAACACATGCAGTAAATATATGTTTATTACACGTTTGATCATGATTATGTTACGTAATTTCAACAAAGGCATATTTATTGACTTTGTTAATCTTCATGTATATCTTTACGCGGTTAAAAGTGCTTTCGACGCGATTAGGACAAGTTTACCTTCACATGATTGTGATAACATCATGCTGCAGTAATGTTGACCACATACGCTGTAAATATGCCTTTGTTTCCTTTGTTTGTTTGTTTGCTTAACTATGTTATTACGTTTATGATTAGATAGTAATGAAAATAATAATAATGATGATAATAATAACGATTTCTTATAAAGTGTTTCAGCAGAAACAGTATAACCGACAAAAAGCGCTTACAATAAATCCCAGTCACTGGATTATATTACGATCTTGCACTTTACAGCGTACATTCTCCACTCCCCTTCCACCTCTACAACACATATTACAACGATGATATTGAGTTGACTGTCCTGACGAATATTCAAGAATATAGGATCAAAGAACAATAAATAATAATGCCCTTACCCGTATGGTTGTGGTCAACATCAGAAAGTTCTTCAAATCTCGTATTTTCCCGTCGCATGCCGTTCTTTAAGCCCGGCGATGCGCTGCGGTGCAATGATACACTGGATGCAGGCAGCTAAGTGCTCAATCACATCTCGGATGCAAGTAAATGAATGAGCATTTCCTGCTGAGCGAAGACGTATGTCGAGGAGGAGAGGGATGGAGGGAGGAGGAGATGGTGGAGGAGAGCGCGAAGAATGGAGTGATGCATGGTGAAGCGGATTTTCGCGATGATGCGGCTATACGTGCTCGATGCGCAAGACGCAGCACGACCTACAAGTGTTTTTCTTCTCACGGATTCGTCTATAAAATTTGGGTGCACTTTTTACCCCCTCCCCCCTCCCCCCCCCCCCCCCTCCGTTTTTCTGTCTGCCTAAATACAATTTGCAATTTAAAGGGGGGATTCAATATTTTCCATGGATAGGGAGGGGGGCTCAGCACGATTTTTAAGTGGTTTATTCACAAGGATGCATTTACAAATTTTGGCGCGCTCCTTGATCCCCCAAATCTGTCTTCAGATATTTGTTTCCGTTTAGCTGAAATCCTATCTGCATCAGGTGAACCAGGATTTTTCGAAAGTGGAGAGGAGTAATGGCATTACTCTTTTTCAGCGTAATTTGATTCACGATAATTTTTGGAGGGGTATATGTGTCCTTTCTCATGTTTTTATCCATTTACAGGTTTGTTTTCATGTTTTGTTTTTTCAGCGTGGGTTCCGGTCATTTTTACCAGCCCCCCCCCCCCTCCCCCTTCCACTCCCCATCTGCCTTTGAATATGATTGAAATTGTCATTTTCTAGTTTTTCAAAATAAGTTCTTCTTGAGCTTTTCCTCGTGATAAACAACCGAGTAAAAGTAAAAACAATATCGATCATTACAAGAGGTAATTCTACCGGTGATTTTTACCGTCCGTATATAAATAAAAAGACCAGAATTAGCTTTTCTGACGGTTCCTTTGGTCAGTACCATATTACCCTACGGCTTCAGTCATCCGCTTTCAGAAGTGTCATACTGCACATGCATGTATTTGATAATAATGTTTCTGTTCTGATTTTACCTCTCTCTGCAAATTTTAAGTTTGTGACGCGAGCGACGTGACTACGAATTTGGAAAATATAATTAAACATCAAAGTTGCGATAAATAATTGTACAGTATTTAGGGGAAATGGTGTAGGGGAAAATAAAAATGAGAGAGAGAGAGAGAGAGAGAGAGGGGGAGGGAGAGACAAAGACAGAGACAGACATAGACAGAGAGACAGACATATATAAATACAGAAACAAAGACGGACAGACATTGACAGGTATAGAGAGACAGATAGAGAGACAGACCGGTTTTCTTTTTTTTAGAAATCATTTATTTACATCTCGATCAGCGCCATTCAACCTCTCATGGATTAGGAGGCTATATACCTGAAAATATAGGCTTTGAGCGGGATCTGGTATCATTAGGGTAACTATGGTGATTGAATTTACAGCTGATTTAAGTTCAGCTATAATGAATCGTTAAATATACTCAATGACGTCATACAGTAACCCTAAGTCCGAACTAGGATGAAGCCGGGCTTCAGTACCTCCCCATTGAAATTTAACGAAAATTTGACGGAGAGAGAGAGAGAGAGAGAGAATGAAAGAGACTGGGAGAAAAAGAGAGAGAGAGAGAGAGAGAGAGAGAGAGAGGCGGTGAAAAGAAGATGATAGGACCGGCTATTCCCATCCTTTCCCTATAATCAATGACCATATTTATTCGCATTTCAATCTACAGTGTATTGTACCCGCCCCACCCCCTCCCCCAGACTAAAAAGGAGAAAATAACAAATAATTAAACAAAATTTGTAAAATTGATCAATAAAATAAGTAAATAAATAAGTAAATGAAAGGTACATTAATGAATAAATAGTTGTATAAATTAATTAAATCTAACAAAATAGGCCTGATGAGTTACTTAAACCTATGATTGTTATAAGTTCGCCTCTCCGGCTCATGCAGCATCAGGCCTATGATTCGTTATCTTCTAGCTCCATGCATCTTCTTCTCCGTCTTCTTCTTCTTTTTATTTTTTTTTTAAATCTTCTTTTTAATCTTTTTTTTCCTAATTTCAATTTACCTTCCCCTTTCTCCCTCTTCTTTGCTTTTTCCTCCCCATCTTCCCCTCCCACCCCCCCCCCCCCCCCCCCCCTCCGGCCCCTCCTCCTCCTCCTCAGTCTCCTCAGGGGGCTGGCGCTATTTAAAGGCTACTCTAGATGCAATCAAAATGATGCGGCACATTTTGAACGGGAATGGTGGCTGAGTCTCGAACTCTCCAAATTAAATACATGTGTTTATGCAAAATTTACAAACATAAACACAAATGCCGCGTAAGTCTACATGAAAAGATACATATTTTTCCACAATCTGAAATCCGTGCGTGAGAAAGTACCTTGCCGTCGTACATGAAATACCAAATTGCAGTGACCTGAGCGGTTGTAGTAAGTGAGTCGACAATTTCCCCCTTTTTGGGCATAGTCTCGCACGTCATACTTCGGAATGTGAGTGACAGTGATTCATTCTTCACCGAGGCGTCGACAGAACTGAACTTATTTTCTCATTGCTTTCGTTTGTTAATTTGTGGAAAAATGGAACAACCAGAGCCAAAAGATGTACATCTTTACATTTATGATTTAACGAAAGGCCTTGCTCGTCAGCTATCCCTAGCATTACTGAGTAAGTTTCAGCTTTCTTTTGCAATTTTTCTCAGACTCGGTCCCATGCGCTCATAATTTTGTTAGTAAAATGTGTACTTTGTAGTTATATTGTTGACATGTCATGGTGTCACTATAATAATAATAATAATAATAATAATGGTGGCTTCTTGTATAGCGCGCATGTCCGTCACGTTGTGACGCTCCTGGCGCTGCCCCGATTATTACCCTGGCTTTAGCAAGGCCAAGGCAGCCACTGCAGCGCTCTAGCATTTCATTTCAAGGAATTAATTCCTGCCAGGTACCCATTTACATCACCTGGGTTGTAGAAATTTCATATTGTAAATATAATTTAGCATTAATAGTTGTTTCCAGTGTTGAGTGAATCAAGGGTGGGCAGCTTTCGCATCAAGCTCCTACTCCTACACCTACACGTTTAATAATTCTGTTGATTCTGTTAAATATCTGTTAAATTTGTCAAAAATCAGGATTTTGGTATTGAAAATTTGAAATAGATCTTTCCTTTGCATTTTATTTAACAGAATCAACAGAATCACATTTTAAGGCACCTGATGTGAGAGTGCACGCCTCATGCTAAACTTAAAGTACATTAGCACAAGCCTAGCAATACAAGCCTCGGTCTAGGTGTTGATTTCGAAGGTACTGGCCTTTGAGCTTTGGTCTTGGCCTCAAGCGAAGCCTGGGCCGAGTTAGACAGAAAGAATTGCCTCTTTCTTCCATCACAAATTTTGCCATCATATCTTCTCTTTGTGTGATATCCTTTTCAGATAAACAAATTGATGGAATATGGCATACAGGGATTGTGGTCTACGGCAGAGAGTATTTCTTTGGCGGTGGAGGAATAGAAAGTTGCAGGCCGGTAAGTACTTCAGGAGTTTAAAGAAAAATGTTGGAATATAATTACCCCAATCAGACCAACGGGACTGACATCAGACCGACAATAGACCAAACGAGAAGTGGAGGTGTTGTGGTGTAGTGATTCATTTACTTTACTCTCAATCTGAGGGTTGAGTGTTTGAATCTCAGACTAGCACACATGCCTTTTGGCAAGACATTAATCCACATTTGTCACTCTCCACCCAGGTGTTAACTGGGTACAGTGTACCTTGCAGGAGTCATCCCTTGAAATGCACTGTGTGTTGATTATGGCTGCCAGAGCAAAACTAGGCTAATAATATCCATCCTCTTTGGAAGCACATAAGGATATTAAGGCTGTGCACAACAGTGTAATGAGGTACCCGAGTACACTCCTATGTTTACAAGCGAATACTCGAGTATTCGGACGCCATGTTTTTTTTGTTTTTTTTTAATTTTTTTAATTTTTTTAAATTTTTTTTTTTTTTTTTTTTTTTTTTCCACCACCATACATACCACTGGAGCAGTATCCCAGTTCTGTCGCCGAAAACGCATGCAATTTTACTTTGAGTTGCAGTTGAAGGCACCGATTTAATAATAATAATAACAGTGAACAATGCTGTTTTAAAAACCAAGGATGGCAGAATAATCCATTTTCCTCCAAGTCCAAGCAGAAATACAGACATTTGGTCCCAGTTTCTGAGTGGTGAGTTTGACAGTGCTTGAGTTGGGAAACATTTTTACCGACGGCACCATGCCAGCGGCTGCCGCTCACTCAGGCATGGGTAAGCGTCGGCCTGGACATTTTTGCGGCCGAATATTCGGGTACGAGAAATCGTACCCGAGTAGTTGTCAACCGTGCGGGTACTCGAGCATTCGACTACCCTTCACAGCCTTAAAGGATATTATATAATAAAGTAATATGCGCTATACAAAAATGTGGTTTTATCATTATTATTATTATTATTATTAAGAAATTGGATTTGCTAAAATATTTAAGAATCTTCTAATATCATATAAAGTGAAACCTGTATATAAAGACTGCTCAAGGGATGCAAGAAAAGTAGTCTTTATAGGCAGGTGGTCTTTGTGTACATGTACAGGTTCCTTTGATACAGATTTCAATGATCAAATATCAAGGGTCATATTCATATACCCACTAAGTCTAGTTGTCAACTATAAACTAAGTACTATTGACTATGTCATTAGATAACATCTGGTCTAGTATTAAGTTTTATGAATAGGGACCCTAGGACCCGTTTCACAAAGCCTCTTTGCAATGACAAATGGCAAAAATCAGCGACAAATCTGTCGATAACCAATCAGAAGCAAGGATTGATTTCAGTAGCTTATAACAAAAACTGTCATTTGTCACTGAAGACAAGTTTTGTGAAATGGGGCTCTGGGCTTTTTAGATAGGTAGTCGCCAATGCACATTTTGACTGTAATTATCTTTCTTGCTGTCAATGTTTTAGTGTGGAACCATCCTAGGACAGCCGACACAGGTGCACAAGATTGGATCCACACAAGTCTCCTACTCGCTCTTCTTGGAATATCTCGGAGAGATGGGCATGTCTGCATTCAGGTATACCAACAAATCAATTACAGATTTATGATGATGATGATAATGAAAGCAGTTACAGTGATAACAACGACAAAAATAGATAAATACTCTACTAATACTACTACATCTACTACTTTTACTAGTTACTACCATGACTACTAATTGTAGTTATGATTGATAATGATAGTGATAGAAATAATATTACTACAAATAATTACAAAAAATTTTACAATATTAGTTATGATTTATTATGATAGAAATAATGTTTTATCGGTATTAATAATACTACTACTGATAATAATGAATATATTAGTTATGATTGATGACAGTGATAATGAATAATTATGATAATAGAAGAAAAAGACGATGGCGACAACGACGATGGTGATGATGGCAAATTCAATTGCTTTATCAATATTGTTTGTCACACTCTTGCCCATTATAGGGGTTTGATTGTTGATGCTATGCCAGGGCAACTTTTTTCATGCTACGCTATCTCTCTCTTCAAAATCTTTCAAAAACATTTCTTTTTTTTTAATTTTGTTTTCTGCCATATTTCACCTACTTTTAGTGGAGATACATACAACCTGATTAACCACAATTGCAATAACTTCAGCAACGAGGTGGCCCAGTTCCTAACAGGCAACTCTATCCCAGCACACATCACCGATTTACCACAGGAAGTACTCAACACGTAAGTCTGCATACCGGTATATATGTAGTGTGAATCATTTCAAGTATTTCTCTCCGATTTAAAATGTACCAATTACCTAAAATTATAAATTTGTGTGCTGCTAGAAATATATCAAATTAACTTTAAATACTTTACCCGACATTATATCAGTTAACGGTAAAGGAGTATTTATGAAATAAAGAATTTCATAAAACAGTACACACAGATTCCATTTCGGACTTTGGTTCCTTGAGGGCCCTATTTTGTGTGAGCGCATCAGGGTACATCAAGCAGTCTATTCACAGGCAGCCTTCCTGTTAATTGTGTACCGGTATTTAGACTTGCAGTTTATCTTAACAGAAAGAGAAATATGCCCCCTTGCCCTTGCTTTCAATGTCTGTCTCTCCCCTCTCTCTCTCTCTCTCTCTCTCTTTCTCCCTCTATCTCTCTCTCTCTCTCTCTCTCCCTTTCTCCCCCTATCTCTCCCTTTCTCCCTATCTCTCTCTCTCTCTTTCTCCCTCTATCTTCCTCTCTCTCTCTCCATCTCTCTCTCTCTCTCTCTCTTTCTCCCTCTTTCTCTCCCCCCCCCCCCCCCCCCTCTCTCTCTCTCTCTCTCTCTCTCTCTCTCTCACCACCTCTGTATGATTCTCCCAACTCTCCCTTTACCTCCTACAGACCCATAGGTCAAGCGATGAAGCCTCTCATCGATGCTCTGGCCTACAATCCTACGGGCAACCGCCCTGACTCAGAGGGGGGTCCATCCGTCTACGATGCCCAAGCCAGCGGGGCAGGTGGCAAACCGCCGCCGGCCACTCAAACTGCTTCAACTTCTACTAGCACTAAAGGTATAGATTTGTTGTATGGATGTTGCCTTTATGCTATGTTCCGATGGCATCAGCAGAGCTATGGAAACAAAATATCAGAATATATATTTAAAAATTGTGATACTGTTGACAGCTTTAAAATGTGTCTTAAAACGTTTCTATTTAGAAACAATTTCCATTGTTAACAATTGACTTAAGGAAGTATTCTGTTTGTATATCACCCTTCTCTATTATTTCATTTTTCTTTCCTTCTGTCCATTACAGCGCATTAGTTTGTGTGCTTTACTATGCTGTTGTTCTTCAAAGAATAAGGAATCTCATGAAGCTTGTATAAAGATATCCAGTGTGCCTCTCAAATGTAACTGGGTTCTTAATTTGAATGTATCAAAGCTCTATAGAATTTACAGAACTTTCTAAACACTAACAACTAATCACCCAATGAGTGCAATGTTTCTTTACCTGGACGTTATAAGCCTTTTGGGGATATATGGATATCTTTGAGGGGTTAATGAATGGGTCATTAGTACAAGAACCCCAATGCAAAGTTAAATTTCAGAGAATAATCATCATTATCATCAACATCATCATCGTTGTTATCTGGAAATGAGGAGAGGTGGATCCTCTTCAAGTGACTGAGGCATTGATCAACATATAGCTAGGGAGGGGTGGTAAAAGCACAGACCAGGTTCATCGGGTAGGGTCGAAAGGCCAAAACATCACTGGTCTGGTAGTGGTACTAAGACACTTCAATGGAATATTATTCAACATTTGCCAGAGGATTTAGAGGTAGTGTGAGAAATAACCGAGAAAGAAAGATTTGCAAGACATTTTTTCAAATGCTTAAGTTCATTATTTTGTTAGCTTTACCATTGTAAGCATAACTTCTTAGACATCTCATTGAAACGTTGAAGTTTCTATGGGATGTCCATGATCTTAGACGTATGACGGTTTCAAAAAGCTGGCCCCAAGATGCCAGGATGGCATTGAAATTTAGTCATATGTTTAAAAGTGAAATATTATCATTGAAACTGAATTTCAGAATCAACAACAAAGTCTGAAGAAGCCAGTAAACCCAAACAAACCCCTGAAGCAGCCTATAACGAGGAAGAGGAAGAAGACAATGACCTCTTCCTAAAGAAGTTGAGGGAGCGGAGGCAATCAAGATCAATCACAAGGCTTTGTCTCTTCAGAGATGGTGATGTAAGTTGTTTCATCGTATATTCATCATAAGAAATAGGTAGCAGGTACAAGCAGGAGCACTAGAAATGGGTGTCTGTGTGCAGTGGTGCATTCACCCGAGTTTTGGCTGATATTTCTCAGTTTTTGTCTCGACTGCGTAGCAAAAAAGCGAGACATAGGCGTCGCTTTTCCGGTGACGGCGGCGACGACGGCAGCGTCAACATCAAAAACTTAACCTAAGGTTAAGTTTTTGAATTTTTGATATAATTTTGAAAGTATAAGTTCTTAGTCAATTAAACTTAGACTATAGGGTAATCAAGTATCCCCAATCATGTGAGAAGAATTTCAGGTCACAAAGTTAAGGTCAAAGGTCATTTCAGGTCAACAGACTTGGACTATGTTGTGGCATCATCATCGGAAACTTAACCTAAGGTTAAGTTTTTGAATTTTTGATATTATTTTGAAAGTTTAAGTTCTTAGTCGATGAAACTTGGACTATAGGGTTATCAAGTATCCCCAATCATGTGAGTAGTATTTCAGGTCACCAAGTTAAGGTCAAAGGTCATTTTAGGTCAACAAACCTAGACTTTGTTGTGGCATCAACATCACGATTTTGAATTTTTTAGCATATTTTCAAAATTGATTGTTCAAATTCCATGAAACTTGTACCCAAGGGTTATCAAGTATCACAAGTCATATGACACAAATTCCATGTCACAAGGTCAAAGGTCATTTTAGGTCAGTAGACTTAGATTATGTTTTCCAAACTAAATATGAGAATTAATAAATCATTTTTTTTTATTAATTTGTTCATATTTCATTCAAGTTATCGATCGTGGTACAATTACTAGTAAATAATTCTTCTGATGATTCTTAGTCAATATTCACTTCAAAATGCTGATTATATTCAGAGGATTTCATTTTTGGAGGCCTGCTAATGGACCACCCTGCCTATAAATAATGTTCCAACCTCAAATTTTCATCATATCGAACTGCGTAATGCAGGCGAGACCGTCGAGAGCGTTTCCCTTGTTTAAGTGCTTTAATATACAGTATCGTCATCATTCCATTGATATCCTTTTCATCTCGTATTTATCCATCGTTTGCACGAGTGAGAATTTTGGAATAATTTGATTTTATGCATTTATATCACAGCTAAACAAACAAAATACATGTTATTTTATTCATTAATTTAAAAGAAGATCTAAAAAAACGATTTTTAAAAAAAACTTTTTTTAAATGCCGACCGTAGATTTTCAGATTTTGGGGTCAGTCGCAAAGGGCAATACAACAAGTTTTTATTTTAGGCCTAATGGAGTAGTGGTATTAATATTATTTAGACAATTGTTCATATTTCTGTCCATTTTACAGCCAGCAGCATTCACAGACAGCATCAAACAGCATCTTCCTCAGAGCCTCCTTACTGCGGATGAGATGATGATCTTAGATCAGATGAAAGATGCCTTCCAAGCGCCTAGCGACAGTCTCCTAGACGATGACTGGGATAAAACTCTACCTCCCGTCAAACCAGACTACTTCCTGGTCATAGGTCAGTGATTTAACCCAGGGTATCCAACAGTGCTTGGACGGGCATGTCCATACTCTTTATCTTCAACCCCCCCCCCCCCCCTTCCACCCAAAAAAGGAGGTCAATGTATGATGTCTCTTATAAACACCTTTAAACAATGACCAACACTTGCTATTTCCCATTTCAGATTTCCTTACCCTCCATAATATAATATGGTAGTGCACTGGTTCTTAAACTGGGGGGGGGGGGGTAACAGCCCAAGGGAGTCATTTTGCTTTTGGGGATTTTCAAGGAAGAAATAAGTGGGTCATAAATGGAGCATTCCTTCTGAATATACACCTGTATCTGACCATGGAGTTAATTAAGGTGGGGGGGGGGGGGGTACAGCAATAACAGCATGTGTCAGATGGGGTTGTAGGTGAATGATGAGTGAACAGGTTAAGAACCACTGCTGTAATTCATACATAAAGAGTTTGGTTCCAAAGTTTAAGTTCTTAGAATAACAAGGATTTTTCTCTCATTTGGCATTATTGATTTGGAATCAACTTGGTCGGTTGTACTATTTTTTTAATTTTTGAAATTTATAAATGGGACTATAAAATCACTCTTTATAAAATTCCAGGTGCCATAACTTTTTGAAAATGTATAAGTTACTTTTAAAATCTGTGTAGGTAGCATTATAACCATCTTACCAAGTGCACCATCATGGAACAACATTCAAGATCTCCTACCATCTCCTCTTATTCTACAGGAAAGCTGCTTGGTAGGACGGATCTACCCCCTGTGGTTCTGATCCCGCTACTGCAGCTCCTCCAACTGGCCTTCCTCAGGGAGGATGTCATTGGTCTCCTCTGCACCAACGAGGACAGGACCATCATAGACTTTGTTAGCAGGGCAGAGGGACAGCCGCAGAAGGTCCAGGTCGAAATCATTCACTTGGTGAGTAGGCTGTACGACAGTCCAGAGCTGCCAACCAGTACGAGTTAATCGTAAAAGTAAATACGACAGTACTATTTTCTTCAATAACATTTTTTCAAAATAGTTTTTATTTATTTATTTACCGGTATTTATTTTTGATAATTTGTTTTATTTTTTATTTTGTGTGTGTGTATGCCATTGGTTCATCAAACACCCCAGTCATGCATGCATATTCTACAAATGATCCATAAAACAAAAAATCTTCCGGTATGTAGGAACTGTATTAAAAAGGCATTGATGCATGGTTGGAAAAAAAAATTGTTAGTAAAATACAACTTTGGGATTAAAGAATACAGTTTTTGATCTCCAGAGGTTGACAGGTCTGCGACACATGCTTCAACAACAATTGCTCTGACAATAGCCTGGAGGTGTTGTGGTTTGGTGGGGGTTCATTCTCTTGACTCTCAATCCAAAACTCAAGGAACTTCATAGGTGTTTAGATTTAACTGCAGAATATGTGATTCATGGTGTGATTCAGTTTCAGTTTCAGTTTTATGTTTCATTTCCAATAGAACAATAATTTTGACAAGAAATCAGATACCTTAATCGCAGAAGATGGATTGTTCAGCCCCTGTATTGTGTAACTACCATTTGGAATTAATGTGATAGTTGTTTTATATTGAAATATATGATAAAATGGACAGTAAACACCAAAAAACAAATGAATGAAAATTAAAATTGAATTGGCGTCATTTCAGCTTTGTAACATGTGTGCCAGCAGCCAAGGATACGCCTGGGTCATCTCGGAGAAAGAATGGAAAGCGCCCTCTGCCAACGGTGCCTCTACGTCTAATATGAAGATTATCAAGGCCATCGTTATAGCCATGCTGCTGAGTGGATCTGATCAGTTATGCGAGGCAGCCGCTTCTCTCGTCTTCAACTTCACAAGACACAAGGTACATTGGAAAGGCCATCATGCTGAAGAAGAGGTTGAATCATTTTTAGTTTGCTAACTTCAATTTTAGTCCGCTTGGGTCTGTATGAAGGGTTTAAGATTTGTTTCTATTTAAGATTAGGGTTAGTACTTAACCGAGTGAACTGAAATTGAAGTTAGCAAGCTAGAAATGATTTAGCCACCGAAAGTGCAATTCTCCCTGATTCAAAAGATTATTGATGTATAAAATAAGATATTGTTCAAATGAGCTAACTAAATATGATATAGCTTCCTAAAGAGCATTTCTGTGGATGAGAAATAAGGGTGATGTGTAAATTGAACTTTTTGTAGTGTTATAAGCACATTAAATACTAAGCCTTGGCTATCTGAGCTGGAATCCCGGCTCCCCCACTTAGTGTTATTTAGGGTACGCGTATGCTTGTACCCTCTTTTTGAAAAGACCCCCTATCTGAGCACTGCCAACATTTCCGAACCCCCCTTTCACGGGCTTTTCACGGGCTTTTCCTGCCTTGGAGACCCCCCCTAAATCCGGAACGCTGCTCAATGTACCCCCCTATCTCAGGACATGCAGACCCCCCCCCCCCCCCCCCCCCCCCCCCCTCTCATCTCAGATAAGCTGTCATTACTGGTTGGCACTTCTTTAAGTTCTTCTTCTCGATCATTTTGAAGCACAATTTTTTTTAGGGCTTCAATATTACACCATATCACAGACACTGATAACATGTAGGGCCTTGCATCTCAGATTTAACATTGTTAAACGATCCCTTTAATACACAGCCAGGATAGTAGACCTATTACTAATGCAGCTGTGACTGTGTGAATTAGGGTAGCCTACACTACAGTACAAAACTACATAGGTCTAGATCCAAGTCCCACATATTCATTTTCATGGGTGTAGGAAAATGAGTTTGAAAGTGTTACTATTGCAATCAAACTATAGGGCAAACTACTCTCCTGAATGTGCCACCCTGTGAGCCACAGGTAGACAGCCACAATATCCACAACGAGAAGACTGTGGGTCCTGCTCAAAGACGTCCCAATCATGACAATTTTGGCAGGGCCCACGCCTCATACCCCATCTTGATGCGCCGGCTTGATGCCGAGCCTAGCCCGATATGCATGCTGAGCGTGCAGCTAGCGGATGCGCCGTACACACTATACGTTCTGTTGTTATCTCTCTCTCTCTCTCTCTCTCTCACACAGATTTTGAGAAGTCCGTACTGCCGCCGTACTGGGACGGGAGTGCATGGGACTCAATGTTTTTACTTTTCATAATGAAATAATTCTGAATGAGCTTTCAAAACTAGCAGGAATTTCTGAAATCTGATCGCGGGATTTCATCAATTTTTCTATGTTCAACTTCAAGATATTTTATAACCCCCTTTTTTAATTTCAAAGAGATGAGAGAAAAACACCCCCTTTTTAAAGAAATCTCCATGTGAAAGTCAAATACACCCCCTTTTTTTACATTTGTCGCCCAAAAAGTACCCCTTTACCGGACATTTTGGCAACACGCATGCGGTCATTTCGAAACCTGAGTGGGGGGGCCGGGGCTGGAATAATGCCATGGAGCCCTTTACATGTAGTTAGATAGCTTCGGCAAAATACATGTACATGCATATTGTATGAAGGCATGAGTGGTTTTAAAGAGGAAGACCGCCCTAATGTTTACTTGGTGGTAATATAAGAAGAAAATTAAGAGAAACAGATGAGTACAAATTTGACCAAATCTGATTGAAGTTGAAATCTTTGAAACTCAAATTGGGAACAATGTGACATATCTTTTGAGGTCCTCTCCTATTTAATCTTTACTGAAATTTTAATAAATTTCCAGTTTCTTAGGGGAAAGAACAGATTTATTTCATATACAACTTACATTTAGGTGTTGAGTGAAATCATACTTGCAAAGATGATATCAAGGATTTACTGACTAGAAACTCTTGTTATTCACTGTCACCTATCTTTGCTCCAATGATCTTGAGGCAGCAGACAACAGTGAACTGCGTGAAGAATCACCTGACTTGAGAAAGTCCACAGGAGTGGATGAAAGCTTGCCTACTAAATCTTAAGGATGGTAGAAGCTTGCATTACAAATTTTATTGTTTATGTTTGCAGCTTGTAGATGACAACGCAGTTGATTTCGGAAGTGCTTTGCTGCAGGTACTATCAACAGGGGAGTTTTCAGAGCCAACAGGTAAATACCAGTCAATCCCAAGCATTACAGAATGACATTTCCAGAGAAATGTAATTAACATTTTAATAAAAATCTACAAATTCAATGATACATGTATGATATATTAGCTAATTGAGAGACACTTTCATAAACTTTCATGTTTCTTATCAACCATTCATCAACTATCTGAAATATTGAATTTTATATACTTTGTTATGGAATGTCAATTTTGAGTTGGTTTTATGGTGGTGTTGATGTTTTTGTTTTTTTCACTCTTTTCAAGATGTTCGCAGTAATGTCCATATGTACCTTAGCTGCACAGACCTGGCTGATAATGCACATGTATTTACCATGCACATTACTAGGAACCCCAAGCACTGTACATGGTAAATACAGTACATAACCAGCTGGCCCTGCACAGCATTACTGTACAATGTCCTTCAAGCTAACTGGCTTTGTAATCCCTACCTCTTATACTCCCACTCCAGTTTACTACGGCATAGGCTCCCTCTATGGTTTGATGGGGAATGTGGAGGTGCTTTGTCTTGCCAACGTGATGGGGTTCAACACGGACAAGTGGGTGGGGCTCTCGGACAGGATCAATCAGATAATCTATGACATGTGTCTTCTCCTAGAAGAAAAGTAGCACGCTCAGGTACATGAGATACTCAAGACCCTTTAACCTACAGGCAAACCTGTCTTTTAAAGGGATCGTTTAACAATGTTAAATCTGAGATGAATGGTCCTAGGTGTTATCAGTGTCTGTGATATGGTGTAATATTGAAGTCCTAAAAATTGCGCTTCAAATAATCATGAAGTGCCTCAAAACGTTAAAATCTTTGAGTTACCGGTTTTACCATGCTCATTTTTCCCAAAAGACTGTAGTGATATAAAAATGTTAGGAAAACGAATGCTGAAATTTTTAATTCCAATCATAGATATCTTGATAATCAGACAGGCGATGGGCTTGTAAAAGTCAGTGGATTCATGTATGACCTAAAGGTTAATAATTATGATTGCAGCATGAGCTAAATCCAGGATTTTGTTTTAGAATCTTTGGTAAAGTTACCCAGTCCCTTTAATAGCTGCCACCTCTCTAGAAAGGCCACCTGTCAATAATGGTGACCCATACTGCATCCCTCTCCAAAGAAATGTGTGTTGAAGAACCGGACTACAAAATTAAAATGATTGAATCTTTGTGTAGGACAAAACGTACAACCATTTTGTAAAAGGGTCTGAAAATCAGACTATTACTTAGGTTATTGCAAAGTCATTTTCAAGCTTTGGTTTTGAGGAAAGTTGTAAATTGTTATTGTCTTTCAAATGCTGTTGGAATTTAACCTTTTCATTTTTTGGGGCCTGCAAATGGGACATAGTACCTTTAAAGGGATCACTTAACAGTGTTAAATCTGAGATGCATGGCCCTACGTGTTATCAGTGTCTGTGATATGGTGTAATATTGAACCCTAAAAAAATTGCGCTTCAAAATGATCAAGAAGTGCCTCAAAAAAGTAAAAATCTTTGAGTGACCGGTTTTACTATACTCGTTTTCCCCAATAGACTGTGGTGTTATGAAAACCGTTTAGCAAACGTTTTTCAAAAATTGTAATTCCATTAATAAATATCTTGATAATCAGACAGACGATCAGCTTGTAAAAGTCATGGGGTTCCTGACTGACCTAAAGGTTTATAATTATCATGGCAGCATGAGCTAAATCCAGGATTTTCTTTCAGAATCTGAGACAAAGTTACCAGATCCCTTTAAGAGGTGCTTTCAGTTTGTATTATCTCCTGTTTACCATAGGATTTATATAATTTTATATTTTCAACCTGCAAAAGGAACAGCTGTAATAATAAACATGAATGTATTATAAACTATCTGCAGGGGTGTCTATTTATCTGTAAGGGAGGGGAGCAAAATTGTTAATCAAAGGTTTACGCTGCATAGGATAAAAAATTAATTCCAAAATTAAATTGTGTGTTTGGGGGGGGGGGCAAGTGTATGTTTGGAATAAGAATAAGCCCAGCTTAGGGATACTGGAACAGATGATTACATTGTACATTTTTGTTCACAAGGCTATGCTTCTATGCTGAATTATCATAGTGAACAAACAAATTCCAACTTTTACTCATGAAAATCTTTTTTTAATGTTACGCTAGGTCACATTTTGTTAAAGATAGTCTTGTTCTGATTTCTAGCTGGTAAATGATAATACATTAATTTTCCATAGATTCAAATGAAATGTACATGTATATGTAAAACATTCAATGTAAAACAGACAATGTATGAAAAACTGCTTAATTGATTTTTAAAGGAAATCAACAATACACTGTATTCGTGCCTGACCTCAAGCAATACTAGTACTTGTATTGCAGAAATGTGAGGATATTTGGGTGGCATAGGCCAACACTTAAGTTCCTGCTTTAATAATAATAATAATAATAGTGGGTTCTTGTAAAGCGCTCATATCTGTCAGACTTGAAAATCCTGAGGCTCCGCAATTATAACCTTCGCTTTAGCATGGCTGCCATTACGGCTCTCTAGCATTTCACAGAATTAATTCCTGCCAGGTACCCATTTACATCACCTGGGATGAGTGTGGCAAATGTAGATTAATGTCTTGCCAAACGTCAGCTTCTACATGTACATGACTTGGTGCTTTTCAGTATTTGTAGTGACGGTGTATCAGGAAGCCTTTAAGATAATTTTTGAACTTTTTGCTGCTTTTTGACAATCCGTCGTAAGCATGTATCAGGATTTTTTTTGTCTACAGCGTAGAATAAAGGAAAGAGGAACAACCCATGCAAATGGAATGGAAAATGGGTATAATTATGGGAAGAAAGAGTTACCAGTAGACAAAGTTTTTCTGAAGATAAAGAAAGACTACTGTAACTAAAGCCAACATTTCTGTACATATTCATATGACAGACAGTTGGTTTTAAACAGGATTATAATTCTCTCATTTTCTATTTCCAGAAGTATTATTATGAAGACTGCTGTATTCATGGTGAACGTTTTTTATTTTTTCCCTGATTTGGTTTATGAACCAAGAAAATCTTGCAGATTGTGATTTTGTATCATGTTTTTGTTTAAATTATGTCATTAATGAATGATCTACGCAAACATGTAGATTGGAAATGACTTTAAAGGGATGGTGCATCATGATTTTGTAAATGTGTTTGGATTTTTTTTGCCCACATTCTAGCAATACTTAAGCAATTTTTTATGCATGAATTTTTAAGTTCATGCATGAAATGATAATTATACCAAGCAGATCTTAATTGTATATTGATCATCAAAATACTTTTTTTCCCCTCCAAATTGTGGACCTAGCTTTAGTAAAACCAAGTACAATGTGAAGAACAAAACCTCATCAACTTTGGGTGATCTAATATTCATATTCCGTGATTTCATTTTACTTTAGTTACATATTGTGTTTATTCAAATATTCAGGACTACTATGAGACTCTTTCTTAATCAAGGCATGAGAATTATAACTCTCAATTCCTCTTTTTAAACAAAATCAACAACTCATTGTTTGGAGAAAAAAAGTCATAAATCCTTCCCTGTAAAAAGCAGTTTTTTTTTAAAGACTGGCATTTTGTTTAAACGAGCTAATACATTGATTAATTTTTTATTCAAATACAACTTTGCTACGTAAAGGGCAATTTTATATTTCTATTGCAATTCAAATGTCTACATTTTTAATTTGAACAATGAAATGCTATACTTATTTAAGAATTCTAAAAAAAAGTTTATACGTTATTTTGTAAAACATTATTTATAATGAAAGAATGTGAATAAATTGTATTTATTGCTATCAGTTTTGACAAAATCCTGTGATTCTGATACATGTTTATTTGCTTCTTCTAAAGAACTAGATATTGTATGAGAGACCGACTATCGTCAGCTCTCAAATGGCTAGAAAAATAAAAATCAAGGATTTTGTATTGAAATTATCGTCATTCAAATCACTTCAAACAGAACAAAACAGCGTCACTACATTCTAGGAAAGTTAAAAGAGGAAATTTATTTTCAGTCACCACTTTACAAATTGGAAGACCATTTTTTTTTTTTAAATCTTATATTTATAATCTAGCTGTCACATTATCCACATATCCTTGTCAAACATAGATGTACAGTTGTTTTTAATTCTGATGTGGATGGAAAAATATCTAATACATAACAAATTCTATACAGAGAAAAGCTGACAAAAATAGTACCAACGTAAAACGTAATTCAATAACAATTTGGAATGTATAATAAGGAATGTCTTTTCCCCAGCTACATACAAACAAGAACACCAGTACTTTGGCTCACTTTGTTGGCCTCCTTGCAGTCTTATACTGAGACAATCGGCCCATTAAAGACCGTCACCACTACTGGGCCAGAAGGGATTAGACCACACAGAGAGCCATTGAGGTCACTGTGACAGGTGGCTATCTCATTAACTCAGCTCTCATTTAACATAAGAAAAAGAGGATCATGGGGGACCAACAGGCACCGATTGGGGAAGTTTTCTTTATAGAGGGAGCAAGTAGCTACAAGTATGGCAGTGTGCCTTTAAGTATTAAGTATATGGGAATAGGAAAATTCAGTACTCAACAGGTTAACTTTGACTTTGGTCCTGATTGATGCAAAGCCTAAATTCCAAAGTGTACCAATCACCTTTAAATATCGGTAAAATACAATTTGTCTGGAATCTATCAAATCAACCTCGAAACAATTTACCTGGCATTCTGTAGGTAAGCATTCAAGGAGTATGAAGTATACAAAAGATAACATGAGACCCTGCGTATAGCGCTTGCATGGAACCCAAGTTGGACCTATTCTGTAAGAGTGCGTGCACATGCATTAACTAGTCTTCTCAACAAGCATTTTACTGATTTAGAATGTACTTAATTGCAATATCTCTTTGAAGAAGTAATGTTTCAAGCTGATATTTCGAATATGCCATTATAGCCAAATGGAACCCCTTACATCAAAAGAAAAACATGTTTTTTTGATTGGTACATTTTAAATATTCTCTTCAGAACTTTTAGATGAAAGACGCTAGCTTATAAAGTCCTTCCGGCATTCTTACAGCATCCTACCATGACAGTGAAATTGATCAATAACTATAACTAAATTTATTCTGCAAAAAAGATTCTGTCAGATACAGCACTAATATATACATATCTATACATCTTCTTGTAAAATTGTACTTTTTTTTTCCTTGTATACTGACAGATTTTACTTCAATAAGCTATCCTCTTTTTCAATACACTTGAGCTCCTATCTCTTTTAAAACTCACTTTCAAAATCTTAATTTTGATCTTCTAAACTCTTTAACTGTCAGAAATTTTGCAACATCAAACACAGCTATTGCAGAACTTCTGAGTAATGAGAGCTTGAAGCAATACCCAGTATCGCTGTCACATTTACATATTATTCTAGCAAATCCAGTGCTATTTTCATACATGTATATAGAATCACTGAAGATACGTCCAATTAACCCTTACTACAAACATACAATCATGACCAACAAAACCTGGAATTTCAAATCAAAATGAATCGTAACAAGATTTATGGAAGATTGATTACTCTGTGTAACTTCATCATTTCAACAATCATTATTCCTGTTAAAGTCTATCAGTCAAGTCTACAGCCTTGTATGTGAACTAAGACAAACTATTAAAGTAACCAGGCATAAACTTCTTCATCATCATCATTTTTACCACTATCTAGTACAAAGAAAGTTCACCAAATATTCCACTCCCCTCTTTAACTCTTTATCTGCTTTTGTTGACTAATGAAACATAAAGACGACTGCCATAGTCAACTTTTTTGTCACATGTATGATGTGTATGTACAACATACTTCAAAACAATGTAGCAGTCCGTTGCAGATAAAGAGTCGATATCCTACACCTGAAAGTAACTATTACGTAATGAGGGGTTTGACGTCACTGAAAGACTGCATCTCGGCCGGTGAAGGCGGGGGAAGCCCGGTGGCCTCCGAGCCCCCTTGGATGGGAGGGTCGTCACCAGAAGGGTCATAGCTGGGATTGGCATAGTTGACGTTGGAGAACTTGCTGTTGACGTTCTCCATGTCGATTCCCTGCGGCTGCAAGGCCAGGAGTCGCCGACGTCGATGTCTGTAGAACAACAATGGATGAATATGGTTGCCTTTATGTTACTTTTTAACCTGTACTACAAAAAGGAATGGATTTGAATTTTGTAGATATTCTGTTCTAGTCTTTCTGCTCAAGCTTAAGGTCTAAAAAAAAAAATGTTGTACTGCCCTTTAGGTGCCAAAACATAGGTCGGTCGGTCGGTCAGAATTTTTTTTGCTTTTTTTGTTTTTGGTTTTACTCCCTCTTTGGGCTGTTATTTCTAAGTAAAAATGTTAAAAGCCGACCATAGATTTCAATATTTTTGGGTCGGTCGCAAAGGGTATTACAACATCTTTTTTTTTTAGGCCTTATGTGTAATTTCAGTATGCTAGGCCGAAATACGATGCAATATCAACACTCGAAAGGTAACACTTCGCACCAATGGTTTGATTAAAATCATAGCATCAAGATTCAAAAGTCCCTTTACATAACTATTTCACAACAAAATCATCCAATAATTCAACATATAGATGATTACACTATACCGTGCCATGTAACTCCCAATCTAGAATGTACAAAATTATTCACCATATTTTCAAGATTTTTTTTTGCTCCAACTTCCATTTTTCAATTATTTATGTACCGGTATTCACTCTATGTTGCTTAGCAAGGTTGCAGCTGTTCAGAATTTGAGATACTCACCTTTGAATTAAAACGACGGCCACGATTATGATAACGACGATGATTATTGCAAGTAAGATACAGATGAGAAGAATGATGTTGAAACTCCTTGGTCTTGAACCTGCTCTTGTACCTTCAACACAACAAAAACAATCAAAGATAATCAGAATCCTTTGTATGTAATAACTGGCAATCTTGCCCTAGAATGTAGATTTTCCACTATGATTTTGGCCTTGAAAATATACATATTTTTCATTGTAAAAGAAAAATGGTTGCATGCATTGTCCCCACCCCCCCCCCCCCCTGCTCACTTCCTGGGCTGTTCCTTCCCACCCCTCCTGCTCTCCCTCCCATTCCTCCTTCTCCCTCTTTCCCTCCTCCCTCCCCTACTCTCCCTCCCTCCCCCTCTAATCTCTCTCCCCCCCCCCCCCCCTCTCTCTCTCTCTCTCTCTCTCCTCTCTCTCTCCTCTCTCTCTCCCTCTCTATCCCTCTCTCTCCCTCTCTCTCTCCACCTCCCTCCCTCCCCCTCAAATCTCTCCCCTCTCTATCCCTCTCTATCCCTCTCTCTCTCTCTCTCTCTCTCTCTACACTGGTGTACCCAATACAACCACCACCTCCAATATGATCCCTATATGCACTGACCTGCTGTCCGAGCACAATCTACGTCCCTCATGAACCAGGAGCCATCCTCCAAACATTTCCAAAGAACCACCGTCTCCGACACGGGTCTATTATCATCACAGTATACCATGATGGTCTCGGTGGGTTTGAAAAGGGTTTTAGCTGTGTTGAAGATAGCCCCTGAGGGCGGGCTGGGCAAAGGACACATTTGTCCTAGAAACGAAAAAAACAGGAAAGAAATATTGAAATAGTTTGAAGTTGACATAAAAGAGTAGGACTGAATGAATACCCTTTTTTCTTCTAAAATGGCTTTGCTTTTACATTTCATTTGATTGAACAGTTCTAATGAAGACTTTCCTACGGATCATGCAGTACTTTACCTCCATTGCTGTTAATGTCATTTTCACCATAATCAGCAACATTTTCATTTTCATCCATGTACATGTAGGCAATATTTTAAAGAAATTGTTTTGTTTTTTTAATATTTATACATCTTGATTCTACATGCATGGAGTCTTGAGGCTCGTTAGATGGTCACATTAAATTCAATCGGCATTTCAAACAATTCACATGCAAGAGTTCATGAACATTTAAGAGACTACATGTATGTTGTCAGTTTGGAAAATTCCTCCTTCCTTCCCTCCTTCCCTCTCAACCCTTCAACTTTGAGCTTGTTTATCTGGCCACATTTAATTCAAGCAGCAAATTGAACAATGAAGCAACATGCAAGTGACGTTCATGAATATGTCAGAAAAACTAAATATAACCAGAGGCAACAGCACATTTGTCAACTTACTATCTATCACAGCGGGAGGAAGACATTTGATTGGTGGTCCTTCCCAATGTCCTCCGGGCCCACAGATAAGGGTGATAGATGCTGAGCCATCGATGCAGCTGATATCCAGCCCCTCCCCTTGCGCGTAGTTCACCTGCGTCACGCTGATGTAGGACCAGCGAGATATGTGAGGAAGATCGCACTTCAAGTCTGTCCAAAGATAATTAACAATCATGGTACTTACAGGTGTATATCTGGAAATTTGTTGATTTCATCCATATAAATTGTATTTGTTATCTACATCTGGAATGTGCTATCTACATTCTGTGAATGTGCTATCTACATTCTGTGAATGTGCTATCTACATCTGAAATGTGCTATCTACATTATGTAAATGTGTTTAATATCTACATCTGGAATGTGCTATCTACATTCTGTGAATGTTTTATCCACTAGTATTAAGTCTGTTTCTTCGATGCTAGTTTATCTTGCTCACACAGACGTTGATATTAAGTCTGTTCAAAGATGAGAAACAAATGTCATTTCACATATTACAATCAAACCTGGTTTTGTGACCACCTGTCTACAAAGATCACATGTTTTGTTTCCCTTGAAAATGGTTTCTCATTGAAACATGAACTAAAGGGGGCCTGTCTACAAATACCACCTGTCTGCAAAGACCACTTTTTGTGCTTCCCTTGGGCAGTTGCTATATACAGCAGGTTTGACTGTATTAGTATTAATTTGGAGGAAATATTTGCTTTCACAGAGAGAGGGGAAATGCATGGAAATGGGTGGGACCCCACATGATATACTCACTGAAGATGAATTTCTATTTAAGCGGGACTGTATAACTTGTATCTACTTGCGCCCTCTATATAGCAAACAATGCCTAAGCGAAACCCGTTGATCCCCCATGATCCCCTTTTTTGTATGTTAATTGAGAGCTGATTTGATGAGATAACCACCTGCCAGTGACCATGCAGAGAGGTCTAATCCCTCCTGGCCAAACTAGTGCAGATAGGTTTTAAGACAGATAAATCTACTGAAAGCTACTGACCTAATTCCCAGCATTCAACGCCTGCATCCTCGGCATGGGTGCAATCGTGAATCTTGTTGTGAGGGCAGTTAAACAGCGATGTCTCATTGCCAAGGCAACCAACCTCATCCAGGTAGATGGTGCTGTAGGTCTGACGCATTCCTGACGTGTCGATGACCCTGCGGGCCGGGCCAAAGCCCAGCATCCGGCAGACGACCTTGGCATCTTGGATGTCCCAATTGTCGTCACAGACGGTGCCCCACCCCCCTCTGTACACCTCCACGCGACCGTTGTAAGGGCTGCTCCCACTAACCAGACGAACTGACATAGAGTGGATGAATAGAGATATATTAGGTTCATTTAGTATTTTCCTCATGGATACTTATTAGGCTCCTCTCCAATAATTGCAGTAAGCTGAAAACTCAGGATTTTTATTGTACTTCATTTCTCAGCTTTCTACATCAGTATAAATGCAACATACAACTTTACACTAGCTGTACAAATGACTGTTTTGTTGCTGTTTCATAGTCATTCCTAAACAGTTATAATAAATTGTGCTTGCCATTTTAAAGCACATAACAGCAGGTAGAACAAAATTAAAACGTCTACAAATACTTCATATCATATATCAGGTGATATTTAGCATAGTAGTACAATATGTACGAGTAGGCATTTAATTATTAATATAGACGGATAATGTTTTAAAGCGGGAAGGCACTACTTGTATCTACGTGCGCCCTCTATATAGCCAACAATGCCTTAGCGGTACCCATTGGTCCCCCATGAACCCCTTGTTTTTATGCTAATTTGGAGCTGATTTGATGAGATAACTACCTGCCAGTGACCACACAGGAAGGTCTGATCCCTCCTGGCCAAACTAATGCAGATAGGCTTTAAATACTTTTTCTCTATAGGTGGGAGGTCAATAATATTTTCAGGAAGTGACTAATATTAATCTTACTGCTCATAAAAAAATGGCTACTCCAAGATTTCAACAATTAAACTCACTTGGAGGAGAGCAGATGATGCCAGCATCGTTCTTATGGCTGCAGTTGTGGACCTCCACCCCACTGCTAGGGCAAAGGGCTATGTTAGCCTCCAAGCCTGTACATCCAACATTGTCCAGGTAAATTGGACCCGTCCCAGTCCCATAGCGTGACGTCCCCTGGATGGCCGAAGTCGCCGTGGCGTAGCCCAGCTGCCGACAGATCACGTTGGCGTCCGTCTTGTCCCAGCTGTTGGAGCAGATCGTACCCCAGTTGCCACCCAGGCCGATCTCCACACGACCCTCGTAGGGGTTAGCCCCGCCCACCAGCCTGATCTCCGTCCCCTCCTCTGTATATTTAATCATATTTGATTTGAAATATCACTTGATTTTGTTCATTTTCAATAGATATCTTTAAGATGTTAAATTCGTTTATAAAGACCCAATAACTTACAAAACATACACACACACATAAAAAAAAGAGGTAAATCCATTAGAAATATTTCTAGTATGTTTTTCAGGAATTTATAGGATTGATTTAAAATCAACAAATAGTACTTCAATTTCACTTGAGGTGTTACATGCTCCCTTTAAAATGGTCTACAGCAAGAAATTGTCCACCCTCCTCAATGAATGAGACGTACATTGCAGCTACCTGGTTTTTTCAGCACCTTAGGATAGATTGATCAACTACTATGGGTAACTCTTTTTTTTTAATTTTTACTTGAGGTATAAATGTTACCATTTATTACCAGAAAATTGACACTGTAACTGATACAAAAGATGAACATTGCAGACAAGGTAGATGTGCCGTGGTCTAGATCAGAGGCGATGTGGTTGAGTAGATATATCACCGGACTATGGATCACGAGATTCAGGGTTCAAGTCCAGTCCAGCTAGGGCACCAATGTCCTGTGGCATGACATTGATCTACACTTGCCACTCTCCACCCAGGTTTAGTAAATGGGTATCTGATAGGAATTTATTTCTTGAATGTTTTTAGCACTTTAACTAGGCTTACGCTAGGGTGATGATTTTACTTTGTAGTTTCCTTGATAGATACATGTGCAATATACATGTAGCTATTAATAATAACAATAATAATTTGGTGGCTTCTTTATAGCGCACATGTCCTTCAGTTTGTGACGCTCCTGGCGCTGCCCAAATTATTACCCTAGCTTAAGCAAGGCGCTCTAGCATTTCAAGGAACTAATTCCTAATTAACATCACATGGGTTGAGTGTGGCACATGTAGATCAATGTATTGCCAAAGGACATTAATGCCGTGGCGGGACTCAAACCGCAGACCTTTTGATCAACAGTCCGGTGACATACTCACTCGACCCCGACATAACACCTTACTGTTATTATTATTATTATTATAAGACCTACCTGGTAAAGAGCACACAGCCCCTGCATAACCAGTCGTGCAGTTATCGATAGCCTCCATGAAGCAGATTCCAAGGGATCTCTCGTAGCCCCCGCACGACGGCCGATGGTAGTACAGTCCTTCGGGCACCCCAAACATATGTCCGGTGGGCGCCTGGCCCACTAGGCCGAGCTTCAGCTGGCTGCAGACAACCCGGGCGTTGGACAGGGACCAGCCGTCTCCGCAGAAGCCCTTCCATTGGTTGTTGACTCGGATCTCGACACGCCCTTTGTAGATATTGCTGCCACCCACCAGCCTCACTGTCAATGTAGTGAAAGGGAAAACAGAAAATTCAGGCACGATGCTTGTTGTTGATATTGGTTTGCCCGTCTGCACTAGTTTGGCCAGAGGGGATTAGACCTCCCTGCATGGTCACTGGCAGGTGGTTATCTCATCAAATCAGTTCTCAATTAACATACGAAAAAGGGGATCATGGGGGACCAACAGGCACCGATTAGGCATTGTTTGCTTTATAGAGGGTGCAAGTAGCTATAAGTAGTGCAGTGGGGCTTTAAAGGCGCTTGTCATTCAATGTTGACTATTTATGCCTTCATTTCAAAAAATTAAAATATCTATCTTTGTATTTATAATCTGGTTCACCAGTCCTTCTCAGGTCTTCTCTCGCGAAAAAATACCTCTTTCTCACTTTCTTCTCTGTCCCCTTTAAAACCCAACAGTCCTTTGCAAGACTACCTTCGATCATGGTGAAACCGCAAAGTAATGGATGACATAAATACTGTATTTAAAATATCACATATTAAACTACCTTCCTGTCAGATAGAGTTTTTCATAATCATTTCTACAGTATTTGACAAACAATCACACTCACACATAGCAACTAAAAACAAGACAAATGGGACTGCATGATTTAACTTCTAGAGAGTCTTTATATTTTAATATTTCTCTTCAATTTTGTGATTTTGTAAACACTATCATGGTTATTCCTATTTTTAGCACTCCTCAATAATCAATATTCTAACATATTCTAAATAGTGTAAATAGTTCCCTACAAAACTTTAGGAATTTTATTTGTCATATATTATATATTTGAAAGATGTTGTAACAATTCAAGCTTTATGTGCTTATGTTTCATCACCTTTGTGTGTTCATTCTTTAAACTGTATAATAGTTGCAACTTGTCTTTGATAAAACATTGTTATATTCTTTTTCACATGAAGTCAATTCAAATGGATTGTAAAATTGAAAATGATTTGGTATATTATATTCTTTTTCATGTGATGTTAACTTCAATGAATTGTGAAATTGGAACATGCATAAATAAATTAATTAATAAATAAATAAATAAATAAATAAATGTTATTATCAAAAACAAGTCAGCTAGGTTACCTTCTGGAGTGCAGCTGGCTCCGGCGTCCTCACGATGGGTGCAGGTGACCTCTGAAGTGGACCTTGGGCAATCCAAGATGTCTGTCTCGTTACCAGTACATTGGACGTCATCAAGATGTATGGGACCGAAGCCCCGCCCAAACTGGGCGTAACGGGGTGCGTCCGTAGCCCCTATGTAGCCGAGCTGGCGACAGAAGACATCAGCATCGGAGGTATCCCATAGGTCGTCACAGATCGTACCCCAACTGTTGTCCATGAATACCTCGGTACGCCCCTTGAAGGGGGTAGCACCGCCTACTAAACGCACGTGCTGCTCTGGTGCAGCTGAAATGGATGATAAATAAGAAAGATTCTGATCAGTAAAGGTATTCTAATTTGATACATCTTGTACATTCTTTCACACTGCAAAACAATTCAATTGACATCACGTCTCTGAGAATCAACAGGAAGTTATCCAAATAACAATAAGTTTAATTCTCATACCAAACATCCTTTTTGAATCCTCAGTTAACCTTTTACAAAATTTATAAGCACTGCTTTCTATTCTATGAAATCTTTGAGAAAAATACTTTGTGTCCTTTCATAGAATCACATATATATATTTATACTACTATACTACATCATTACATGTATGTGCAGAGAAAATAAATGTCCATAAAGAACCTTTGTTCAATTTTTTCAGTACATTTAAATCAAATTAGCCAATTACAATCACAATGGATTAATGAAAAACCATGAAAATCAGGTAACTTAATTGAAAATGCTGAACAGATCCCCGACACTTTTTGCCGAAAATTGATGTTTTACCAATCTTAATAAAATTTGTCTGGTGATAACATCTCAGTGATCTGAATATTCAACAGTACCCATGTTTTATCTGTAATGTAGGGCCAACCCAGATCAAAATTCAACCCTGTGCAACATACTATACCTAACACTACACCCTAAACCTAAACCAGACATTTGAGGGAAGAAAAAAACTCTGACAATTGTGGCTAGAACAAATATGGGTGCACCTCATCGTCATTAAAACACACTTACTTCTTTGAGTGCAAATCACACTAACATCCCGAGAGTGGTCACAGGACGGGTCATTTCCCATGGTCAAGAGGGCAGCACACTCAAACAGGTAAGCGTTATGGGCGCCGCAGTCCACTCCCGTCAGGTGGACAGGGCCGACGCCGGGTCCGAAACGGGCCCCTCCGAGGTTGGCGGAGGAGTTGTCCATCATGCCGAAGCCAAGGTGGCTGCAGACGGTGTGGCCGTCATTAATGTCCCAGCCCTCCTCACAGATGGTGCCCCACTGTCCCCCTATCATGATCTCAACACGCCCTTCCTGAGGGTGGGAGCCATTGACCAGGCGAACTAGAAAAATCAATATACACACTTACAATCATAATGATGATGATAATGATGATGATAATGATGATGAAAAATAATGGCAACAAAAGAATAGGAAATCAATGATATTTCAGAGCAAGCCTACAAATATTAAAGGCTGTCTGTACTAGTGTGGACAGGAGGGATTAGACCACCCAGCAAGGTCACTGATCTCATCAACTCAGCTCTCAATTAACATAAGAAAAAGAGGATCATGGGGACCAACAGGCACAGATTATAGGCATTGTTTTCTACATAGAGGGAACAAGTAGCCGCAAGTAGTACAGCGGGGCTTTAAAACTTTAGGGTGTTAGGCCTTCTTCCTTTGACTGGTCCTATCAGGATAGGTTGTGGCAATCCTGTGGCATCATCAATACTTCAACGGATACCTGAAAAAGGCAGTTATGGAATCTACATGAACATCTTTTTTTTTAAATTAGAAAAATAGTTCTGTCTTTTTTTTTTAAACAGGACCCAGCTTCAGAAACATGAACTGTGCTATACGTGTGTGTCATTTATATTGCTGTTTTTCAAAAAGCGGTTTTAACGTGTGGAAAAGTCTTGACAGCTAGGGTCTACCTTCTGGCATGCAGATGACGCCAGCATCCTCGGAATGTCCGCAATTGTGGCTTCCGACTCCACGGTTGCTGCATTCCAGGAGGGTTTCTTCGTTTCCAGTACATCCCACATCATCCAGAAGAATGCTGCCTGTCCCACGTCCAAACTGAGCAGAAGAAACATAGTCGACGGCATTGCTATAGCCCAGCTGCCTGCAGACCACCTGTACATGTCAAAAAAGTAGTTTTCTTGTCTAAGTTCTAAGTCAAATTTGTAATCTACATGCATATGTATGTTGTATCTAAAGAGAAGGTTGAGTTCGGGTAAAATTAAAGGCATTCTTTTTTTCTTTTTTTTCTTTTCGTAAAACTCTGAATATGCTTAGTTATAAGTTTATGAACAGTCATGAATGTATGATGAGTGTAATGTTACTATAAATTCCTTCAAGATTACAGAAAACTGGGGGGTGTTTCACAAAGACTGAGATCAACTTTAAATAGGACTTAACTATGGCAGGCCATTCATGCCACTGGTTGCTCTCACCATTGGACTCTCAAGGGACGTCACAAATCTACAGATTTCACATTCGTTATACTTTATTATTGAAGGAAAAAACATTATCTAAAGAACATAATTTCTAAGCTTTTTTCCCACTAATTTTAAATCTGGTTCACAACTTTTTAGGGGCATAAATTGCCTGCCATATTTCTAGTCCAACTCAAAGTCGATTTTAGTCTTTGTGAAACACCCCCCTGGAAAATGGTCCTAAACTGACTGACCTGTGCATCATTCAGGTCCCATCCATCGTCACACACTGTTCCCCACTGATTGTTATGATGAACCTCCACCCGACCTTTAAAAGGACTGTCGGTTCCAACAAGTCGAATGTTTGCCATCGTGTTCACTGTCGAAACAAAGGGAAACAACAAAGTTGCAAACATGTAGTGTAGTGAAAGTCGCTAAAGGTCAGGAAAATGTTCATGTACAATGTGAATTCCGCTCATTGAAATATTAAAAATGGCAACAGAAATAAGCAAATTATAATTTCTGAAGACAAGAAAAATGAAGAAACATGCATGCATGGACACGCATGAATGTACATTTCAAAAACAAAATGCCACAAGAACAACACTGCAATCACATTTGTAAAAGCTCATTTTATCTACATTCAGACATGGACATACATGAAGCTTGCTTTAAATTGTCCTCAACATTGTTCTCTATCAGAACTCAAGAATAATTCAGTTTACTGAAATGGGCAAGGAAGGTTTCCTTTAAATCATAAATAAAAGCAAAATATTGTTGCTTTTTATAATGGACCATGTACACTAAAACCATACCACTGAATCCACAAACGACCCCAGCATCCTCTATGTGATCGCAGTTATGGACGCTCAGTCCTCCGTGACTGCACTCGAAGAGGGTCTCCTCAGACCCGACGCAATTGAGGTTATCCAGGTAGATGGGCGTGGTGCTGGAAGCGGTCCCAAAGCGACCTCCGGCCTCCGTGGCGGCGTTGAATCCCAGCGCCCTGCAGACCACGCCCGCATCGTTGAGATCCCACGAGTCATCGCAGACCGTCCCCCACCTGCCCTCGGTGTAGACCTCGACCCGGCCCTCACTGGGGACGCTCCCGTCCACAAGGCGAACCCAGGTCCCGACAGCCGGACCTATATTCAATTCAATTCAATCAAATTATTTTGCAAAATAAAAATCAAAGTATACAAAGTAACAGTATATTTTAACAATATTTACAAAGATTACATGCTGGGCTTTCCATGAAGGTTGCGAAAACCTGTGGACTTGGATCGCCCATTACAGAATGAAAAACAAACAAAAAGAAAAACAAAATATTATATGGCACAAAGGTACATGTATACGTCACATATAAGTACAATTTCTCTATTAATAAGTCACTGCCTACGTGCACCTCACAGCTACATGTATACTCTCATAGTGACTCAACTATAAAACTTTGCATTACTTTTGTATCACCACTACTTGGAATTACTAAATGAAAGATTTTAAAAATGAGTAGTTGCTAAAAAAAACTTATTCTCATATAATGAGGTAAACAATATCAAGGCATCATAAAATGAGAGAAGCAACGCATTTCACAGTTCACCGAAAGAGGCTTGGTAAATAGGGACTACATGCATACCAGGGGGGCCTAGGGCAGCCTCTCTCCCCTGATCCTTTTTAAAGTTGAGATACATTCGGGGAACAGTTTCCTCTCCTCATTTCGAGGGTTCAGTGACACAAAGACGTAACTCCATATTTTTCCAAAATGAGTACTTGATATCAAAATGTTCAGAAAAATGTAGGCTTTCCAGGAAACACAAAGACTTAACTCCACCCAACACCCCATTGAAGTCAATGGCTAGTGAAACATAGACCTAACTCCTTAAGGCCCAAGTGCTCAGTCACACATAAACCACTTTTTCTAAAAATCGCCAAATTGGAGTTACGTCTTTGTGTCACTGACACCTCGATACGTACCTTCTTCTGAGCACCGTGCTCCTGCATCTTCAGAATGTCCGCAGTTGTGAACCTTGATGCCGTTGTTCAAGCACTGGAGCAACGAGGGCTCCGTGCCCACACAGCGGACATTGTCCAGGATGATTGAACCTGTGCCCTGCGGGTAGACACTACCACTGTGGGCCATCTGGGCGTTAGTGTAACCAAGCTCCCTGCACACAACCTGAAAGAATCGTTCAGATTGATATTTACTCCATAACTTCGCAAAACATTGTCATATTCTCAATTAGTTTAACATACTGGTAAGCTAGCAACAGTTTTTCCTTCTCTGCTGTGAGCAGTGTAGCCCATGATTTAAGTAACAGGGGAGAAATGTTTTGTTTTTATATTTAAGAACGAATATTCAAATTTTGATAAATTACATCTTTTTTCAGACACAATTCCCAAATTTGCTTATTCTTAAATTTGTATGTTCCGCAAGTATTGTTTTACAAACAAAGGCAGCAGAATTAGTAAACCGGTACACAAATCCAAATCAGCAAGAATAGACTGAAATAATTTAAACTCTGCCTTGAAATTCACAGATAATTGCTCTTATGAATAGTGGCACAAATATTGCTGCATTATTCTTTATTCCTACATTTCAACTAAAGGAAAAGACTGGTAAAGACGTTGGCATTAATTTGTCTGTACTTACTTTTCAATATATTAGCATATGACATTTTTAAATAAACTAACTATTAATTTCATCAGAAGAAATACGTAAGATAATAACAAATGTTTCTTAATGCAAGTCATGCTGACAAGTGATCTCTGAATGCCGGTAGTAACAGAGCAAAATTTCTCTCTTGTACAATGCCTTTTTTTTTTTTTTAAACATATTATTGCCAATTTGAGCTGAATCAAAAGCTCTTCGGGATCACTTCTATCAATGAGTTTTTTTAATTTGAGCTAAATCAATGAACCCTCAGGAATCTAATACCCTCATAAGTGTGAATAATTCACCTAGTTATCGACCTGTTACATGACATACCGCTGCATCTTCTCTTCCCCATTCATTGAAAAACAAATTTTAAAATATTACTGTTGCCACTTGGAGCTAATTCATTAAAGGGATAGTTGAGTTCTGTTTTCAGACCGCAAATGCCTTCAAAGTGCATGGTTATTGCTCTTATTCTTATTTATGACATTTCTACTGCCCTTTTAGGACCTAAAATTGCTATGAAGGAAATTTTAGATGCCAAAATGTGTGAAATTTGGCCAATGCCATCATACCATTTCAGATCCACTTTTTAAAAAAAAGCGGTGACCGTTAATCTATAATGATAATACGAGAAGGCTCCGCGGGGGGGCATGACGTCTCCGCCGGCCTTTGTATTCTATTGTTTTTTAATGAGATCGCCGACGCAAGTTGGTGCAGCTATCTCCTCCTGAACCCTCCCCTCGGGGTCCCGGTGCCCGGTGCCATCGTCCGCGGGAGAGTCTACTCTGTGGAATTGGCTATACTCCGCCCGAGGTCCTCCTCCGTGTCGACGTCCAGGGCAAAAACAGACGCGATTTGCATAATGCATGATATGCGTGACGACAGAGATACCTCATGGATATTCAACATTACATCCGTAGACACACGACCGATGACTATCCACTCACATTAAGTTGCGTATTAAATGCACGATATACAGGGTCGGGATTACCCGAGTAAAGCATCTTTCTATAGGATATCCTTTGTAGTAGCTGCACAAGCAACAGAGATACACACGAAGCTTCCCGTCCACGTCCAAACTTAGAGACCTATTTCCATCATTATTGCGCGATTTTTATATAGTTTTCGTGAATGGAGGTATGAAATCAAAGCTTATTTTGTGATTATGACGGTTAATGTATACTACATTTTGCTTATCATTTTCTAAAGGAAAGTTTTCACAAGAAAACCATTGGACTGACAGTTCTGTCGCAAGCTGCCTTCAGTCCTCACACATACAGAACACACAGTGCAGTGTAACACCGGCACCACGCACCGCAGGCGTCCGAGGCCTGCGGCGTCGGTGTTCGAGCTGTCTGGAGTTACGCTAGAGTGTGTGTGAGTTCAGCTGAGCTGAGCTCGAGTCGAAGAGATTCGACACTTTGAAATTGTTATCTGTTGGTTTGCATCGTTATTGCCGCGATTTCAATATAGTTTCGTGAATAGATTTACGAAACCTGAGCTTAGAATTAGTAAAAGTATTACTAATGTCTACGTTTTTAAACGACTGTCTGATTTTCTTGTGAAAATTTTACTTTGAAAAATGATTATCGAAATTCATGGTCAGAAATAATCACAATCTAGGGTCTATTAATTATGTTACAGTTCTTGCATCAAATCAATGCATGAAAACTTTGTTATTGAACTAGAAAAATGTTGTTTTTTTTTAAATAGGCAATAAGACCTATGAAGTATTAAGCCTGAAACCTTCGCCTACTAAACAAATCTCAACAAAGTGTAGGCCTATCCTTTTATGAATTAATGAAAAAGTAGCCCCAGAAAAAAGAGCCCCCGAAAGTTGAAAAAGTAGCCCCCGAAAATTTCCCAAAAATTTGAAATGGAGCCCCCGAAATGAAAAAACTTAATTTTTTGCCTGCGCCCCCCCCCCCCCCCTCTAGAATCCCGCGGATTTCCGCGGGTCCTGAGTTGAGTGTATATATAATATAGGCGTGGGGTCCACGGGTTTCAAGGGGCCATAAACCCCCAAAAGCTCGGGGGTTACGTTCTTCAAAGTTGGGGGGGGGGGGGAGAGATCAGATCAAGGCGAGTTGAGTGTATATACAATATAGGCGTGGGGTCCACGGGTTTCAAGGGGCCATAAACCCCCGAAAGCTTGGGGGGTTTAGGCGTTTAATTAGGGTCAGATGAGCATATTTTTAATACTTTATTTGTGACACTTGCGGGTCACTAATTGGCGTGGGGTCAATACGTAGAGTTGCGTAGTGTTGCGTACCAACTACGCTGGCCTACATTACTCTATGCTGAGGGACGGAAAGAGGTACGCAAGATGAACGAAAACAATTCAACATGTTTAATTTTTTTCGCGTAGTTTCGGCGTAGAAACTTGGCGCAGAAAGTACGTCTTTTTACGCAACACTTCGCTACTTGACTACGCAACAGTACGCTACCCTACGCCAGATCGTCAAAGCAGTAAAAGCTTTCTACACAGTAAGCAACCATAAGCAAACCTGTACGCCAGCCTACGCATAACCTACGCAGGGAATATTTTCCCATTAATACGCAGCCTAATTTCTGCGTAGTCGGTACGCCACACTACGGAACTCTACGCAGTTCCAGTGGCTTATAGAATAACTACAGGTACAGTTGGATCGTTTTTGTTTTTTTATATAAGGCCAAATTAAAAAAAAAACATGTTTAGCGTCCTGTTTTTTCGAAAAATGGGAAGGAGGAGGCCCTTTTTTTTTTTTTTTTTCTTTCAAAATGGCCGCTCCGTACATTTTCCCTGACACTCTGGCTATTTTTCAAGATGGCGGCCGACAATTTTTTTTGTTCTCTTTTAAAATCAGAAATACATTTTAGCAGTGCTTTTCATGTTTTTTTTCTTTCAAAAATAAAAAAATAAAAATGAAAAAAAAAATTAAAAAAAATTAAAATAGGAGGCGGCCCCCAAAAAGGAACCAGGCGGGGACGCTGTTTTTTTTTCTTTCAAAAAAAAAAAAAAAAAAAAAAAAAAATATTAAACAATTCCAAAAAAAAATTTTTTTTAAAAATAACAAAATAACAAAAATTTTAAAACAAATAGGAGGCGGCCCCCAAAAAGGAAGCAGGCGGGGAAGGAGGAGGCCCTTTTTTTTTTTTTTTTTTTCTTTCAAAATGGCCGCTCCGTACATTTTCCCTGACACTCTGGCTATTTTTCAAGATGGCGGCCGACAATTTTTTTTGTTCTCTTTTAAAATCAGAAATACATTTTAGCAGTGCTTTTCATGTTTTTTTTCTTTCAAAAAAAAAATTCAAAAAAAATTCAAAAAAATTTCAAAAAAAAAAAAATAGGAGGCGGCCCCCAAAAAGGAAGCGGGCGGGGACGCTAAACATGTATATTTTTATAATGGCCTGAATGGCAAATAAAGTTCTTGGTGGTTTTAATTTAGGCAGTCTCTATATATCTATTTACACCCCCCCCCCCCCCCCCCCTCTAGAATCCCGCAGATTTCTGCGGGTCCTGCTAGTTAATTAATAATAACAAAACATGGGCCGGCTAGTCGTGCGTAATATAACCAACACAAAAAAGCCAGCAAAGAAAGCCAACATCGGCATTGGCTGAAATACAACGTAAAAGGCGCTATTTCGTTTTTTCAACAGCTTTTTCAAATTATTGAATACGTGTATTTGTGGAGATTATACACAAATATTAGAAATCGTTATATTTATGGATATTTCAGCTGTCTCTGAACCGATTTTGATCAAACAAAGATTATTTTGTCATTCAAATTGTATCTTTTTTCAAATTTGACACTCAGTTTTTCAATATCTCACCAAAAAATTATTTTGTGAAGTGCCCTCTGCAACAGAACTCAACTATCCCTTTAAGCCCTTTAGGAAGCTTTTCACATGTCTAATTGGTTAACAAAGCTTCTAACCTGATATACCCTTGCATCCTTTATTCCCCATTGGTCATCACAGAAATTTTGAAAATATAATTGTTGCCAATTTGAGCTGAATCATCATGTCCTTCTGAAACTAGATATTCTAATAATTGGTTCAAAAAGATCTTCTATTCCCTATTTGTTGTCACATGAAATCTCCATTCATTGTCACACAAATTAACTGTTTTGACCATTTCATCATTTTGAAAATAGTATTGTTGCCAATTTGATCTGATCATCATCATCATGATCTTCAAGAATAGACCAGTTCACGGTTAGCACATGGCTGCAATGACTCTGAATATCCACAGATCTTCAAAACATGAAGAGGTCCCACTTTGTACATTTTGAAATAATCACTCCTACAGCGATGGAGATGCTACATCCTTTAGCCTTTGTTTCCCATTTTCAAAGAATACTTCCACCTGAGTATCATGGAGTGCTCTGCATGTGCATAAATGAATATTGATTACATAACGTATCCAGTATTCCATCTCCATGAATTTCACAATTTATTCTGCAATAACCTTTATCTGCTCATGCTCAGACTGCAACCATGAACTGGCTTATTGGATGTTTCCATATATGTAATTGATTGCAGATTTATCAAAAAGTTGATGTGACATACCCTAGCATCCTCTAATCCCCATTCATCGTCACAGACAGTCCCCCATTCTCCATCCCACAGCACCTCCACACGACCTTCGAGGGGGCTACCCCCATCGACCAGCCGAACGTTGACCTGAGGTGATGAAGTGGCGGGCACTAAAAAGAGAAAACAGAAAATTCCAGAAGTCATAAATGTAGTTCTTTGTGACAGAAAATATCATGATGATATTGATGATATAGTTGTACAACACGTCCTAGCAACAACTGCCTGGGTTCCTTCACTACTAAAATTTACTCCAAATTACGCCTATGGCTGCCCCTGAACACTGCAATAAAACAAATCATAATTTTTGCCCTAACCATGCTTGTTTGACAAAATAAAGCCAAGAGAAAATTCCTCACGAGCAAACGTTGGACACTTACAAATTTAGTTATTTCCCCAGGACACTTAAGGACTGGGACAAACTACCTCAGATCATCGTTGAACTGCCTTCTTTGGAGCAGTTCAAGGTGGCTCTTCAATTTAGTTCCCTTTTGAGGAACTGTACCACATAGAGCTGTATATAACAACTCTATGCTTTACCCTCATCTAGATGCTGAACGGGCGTTGATAAGTATTACCATAGAAGTAGAAGTAGAAGTAGACCAGTAATTTGTCTTTACTCACCGCTACATCTGATGCCTGCATCCTCTCCGTGGTTGCAGTTGTGCACTCCCACCCCGTTGTGGGAACACGACTGAATGGTCAGCTCTGGACCGAGACACGACACGCTGTCCAGGTGGATGGGGCCGGAACCCTGGCCAAACCCTGCTGACTGGACAGCGTCCAAGGCAGGGCCGAACCCAAGCTGAGTGCAGGCCACCGTGGCATCGGCCAGGTCCCAGGAATCGTCGCAGATGGTGCCCCAGATGCCGTTGTAGATGACCTCCACACGTCCCTCATAGTCTGTTGACCCCTCCACAAGCCGTATCAAGGTCGCCGCTTCTGTGGTTGGAGACAGATGCAAGCAACAATGATAATCACACTTTATATTCTGTTCAAATCCTAAAAACAGACAGAGAATTAATGCCAAGATCTAAAGCCAGAACGGCATCAAAATAGCTTTACAAATTTAGGAAACTGCAAATTTCAAGACCAAAAAGCGCCTACTTTAGCTATACTTCGAAGACTTTTTGAATGTGGAATTCATTACCAGTATCATTTATTCAGTAGCCTTAGACCAGCATTTTTTCAACAAGGGTGCCGTGAGACATCTCTAGAGGCTTAGCTATATCAAAAAATTACTTTGGAATAATGTCGATTTCGTGAAAACCAAATATAAGAAACTGCTAGACCATGTGATTTTATGAGGAAATAGCATTCTAATATAATACAGTGTCTTTATTTGTATTATTACGCACCGTACAAATGTGACTATTATTTTAATATTAGTATTAAGAAATGGGATAATTTCAGGCAGTGAAAGTTCCTAAATGGCTTCATATTTGGACAATGAGGTGCCCGAATATCCTTCTATTTCACAGCAACTTGCCCAAATGTATTTATATTCAAAATTATATTATTACTGTGCTTGTTCACTTCACTTTCTTGCAATTTGAGCAACAAGATGCTCAGTCAGTAGAGCGTCCGCCTCACAACCGGAAGGTCGAGGATTCGCACCCCGGCCGCGTCATACCAAAAGACGTTAAAAGACAGGAGTTGATGCTACCTTGTTTGGCGTTCAACAATAAGGGATAGGGCAACGTCGATCTGGCGCTGCTCAGTGGCTGCCGGGCTCAGGATCAATTGGGCAAAAAGAATTTACACTTTTGGTTTAACTTAATAAAATTTGGAGTGGACTTTAAAGATTATTATTATTATTTTTATTATTATTATTATCAATTTAGAGAGTAGACTTACCCTCTTGATTACACACCACTCCAGCATCTTCAACATGAGCACAGTTATGGGTCGATGAGAACCTACACTCAAACAGCGATTGCTCTGTTCCTGTACAAGCAATGTCATCCACATGGATAGGACCGGTTCCAGGACCAAAGCGACTGGATCCGGAAGCTTCCAGTGCGTGGGGATAGCCCAGCTGGCGGCAGGCGACCCTAGCGCTCTGCAGGTTCCAGCTGTCGTCGCAGACGGTGCCCCACGTGCCGTTCATGTAGATCTCAACGCGTCCTTCCAGGGCGTTGGATCCGCCCACTAAACGGATCTCCAAATGTACACCTGTGCAAAATAATGTACATGTAGATAATCATCATGTTGTCATTCCACACACCAACTTCTATCCCACCAATTTCAAAGTATCGTGATGATAAAAACGTGACAACTGAACCACTAGTGGTAGGGGTGGAATACAAGTCAAATGCCAAATGTTGCCTAATTATGATCCACGCAATCAATATAACATGACAAGCTGTGGACCAATCACATCCTTGTATCTGTTTAGATCTATCTAATATTGATGCCTACATGTATGTCTTGCTCCACTACGCAAGCGAGAGAAAGATTGTGTGAATGATTTTTAGGGTCAAATCATACTTGTACATGTGTGTACAAATTTAAATATTTGGCACAAAGGATTCATTGCTTAACTTTAGATAGTACCGTAAATCTCGGTGTATAAGGCGCACCTGTGTATAAGGCGCACCCCTATTTTGAAGACAAAAAAAAGTAGAGAAAAAACAAATTCTGAAAAAAAAAATTCTGTCATTTATAGTTAAAAAAAAAGCATTATTACTAGGTCTAACTTAGTAGTTCACCAGCACTTCAACTGTACCTCTTAATAAAATGAAAGTATTTTCGAACACTGAAATAAGAGCTGATCTGATCTGGTTAACAAAAAGCCAAAAAAGCCAATTAAAAAGCCACACAAAAGCTATTTGGGCTTTTTTGGCTTGTTGTTAACCAGATCAGATTGGCTCTCATTTCAGTGTTTGAAAATACTTTCATTTTATTACGAGGCACAGTTGAAGTGCTTGTCAACTAAGTTAGACCTAGTAACAATGTTGTTTTTAAAACTAAAGATGACAGAAAATTTTTAATCCGAGTCCAAACAGAAATTTTGACAAGCTAGTTTTCGTGAGTGAGTGCATGAGCTGCATGATACAGGTGAGTGAGCTGAAGACACGGGAGAGCTTCGGCCGGCAAAGTGCTTTGTGAAGGGGCATAATTTATCGTGACTGGAAAAAAAAAACTCTCTTCCCTTCAAAGTACGAACGTAGTTTAACTTCAAATAGTAGATCCTATTCTTTATTTGCATTATGTGATTCATGTTGAGATACAGAGATTTTCGAAAACCATTAAAAGTAGCATTTTGAGGACTAAAAATATCCTGTACCTGTGTATAAGACGCACCCCCGACTTTTGATTTTTGCCGACGGAAAAAAGGTGCGCCTTATACACAGAGATTTACGGTAATGTTAATTTATGCAGATATGTCACACACACAAAATCTACAATGCTGTTAGTACAAACAAAAAACAAAGAGTTACTACAAATTTTCTCAAAATAACAAAGAAAGGTGAAAGTGAATGAGGAAGCATTATATACCTGTATCTTGTGGTTGGCAAACCACCTCCGCCGTTGCACACGTTTCCATGGGTGTCTGAAGAACCTGGTAGTTGCACTGCAACAGGTTGATGCTGCTAGCGTTGCATCTGACACCAGTCACCAGCATAGGAGCTGGTCCAACGCTCAGACCAGACCCTGGCCTCAGGAGCCCTGGGGCTCTGTTGAGGGCTGGACCGAAACCAAGTTGGTGGCAGACAACGTCGGATTCGTTGAGGGTCCAGCCCCTTCCACAGACTGACATCCAGGTGTTGTTGAAGAAAGCTTCCACTCGCCCTTCCAACGGGTTTGCTTCTGCACTACCAAAGAGGCGGACCCCAACATTGGCCTCTGGGGTGGTGTAATAAAGAAAGGATAACATGTAAAAGTCAACTTTGACCCCAGACAAAAAAATTAAATCCTTAAAGCTTATCTGCCATAGTTTACAGGAGGGATTATACAGTCCTGCAAGGTCACTGGACAGGTGGTTATCTCATCAACTCAGCTCTCAGTTAACATAAGAAAAAGAGGATCATGGGGGACCAATGGTCACCGATTAGGTATTGTTTGTTATATAGAGGGCGCAAGTAGCTACAAGTAGTGCAGTGGGCCTTTAAATGAATAGCTCCTTATGTGTCATTCTGCATATAGCAATGCCAACCTCTAACCCAGGGGTCCATTCAAAATGAAAATACTGCTAAGTATAAAAAGTAAGGCTAATTGAAAGTCTAATAGCTGGGCAGGGGAGCTATGCTCCATGACCTTGGATATGGGGTGACCAAAATAAAGAACTTGGCAATAAGATAGAGCATCTATCAAATCAGATCTTAATATCTTTTAAGAAACTGTATGCACCTGATTTCTCTTATAAAAATAAGCAAGATTTTGTATTATATTCTTCAATGCTGTGATGGTAAAATACAAAGAATCAATAAGACGTCCCTCATTTACATCTTTTTTCTATTCTCAGACTGTTCTGTTGCAGTCTTTTGGCCTTTTGGTTTTACAATGAAAAAGACAGGAAATAGGTCGACTCCTGTTCTCTTTCATCTCCTTATATTCCTCACCGGTTGTAGAACACTCCACTCCACCGACGTTCGTTGACTGGCAGGCGCCCAGCATGGCTCCTCTGCACTCCAGCAGGTTCAGCTCGCTGCCATTGCACTGTACACCACCAATACCTGCAATCACCGGGGCAATCACCTCGGCGGTGTAGACACGGGTTGCATAGCCAAGGCCCATCTGACGGCACACCACCATACCATCTTCGATGGACCATTCGTCTGAGCAGATATATCCCCACCGGTCATTGACGGAGATGTTGACAAGGCCAGACCCCTGGTTGGCTGACTCAGAGATGAAGGACACGGAGCCGTTGGTACCTAGACCTGCATGGGCAGGCAACAAGAAATGCTTGAGGATTAGGGGAGGAAATCAGGTATTTGAGACAAAAAAACAAGAGTTATCATCATATGCTATTTATTTTATTTTCAGGCAGAGGCATCAGGGCTCAGACATCATGGCCTGAATTCACAAAGGACGTTTGTTGACAAACCTAGGTTTATGTGCGTCATATTAGGCGTTTCAACGCGTTTCAAGCCAAGGTTTGTAATGACGTTAGTTTTAGTGATTTACAGTTTGGCAGGTCAGAGGGTACAAAGGTCAAAATTACAATTGACCTCAAGTGGATGTGGCTTAAGTGGTCTTTCCTTTTGTCAATATTACAGGGCTATTTCCAACCCTGAAAGGGGCGTGGGGGCATCATGGTAAATGCCTTGTGTATTTTGAGCCATGATTTCAACTTGGATAATCAATCTGGGACCCGTTTAACAAAGCCTTTTTTCAATGACAAATAACAAAAATCAGTGACAAATCTGCTAAAAAACAATCAGAAGCAAGGATTTCAGTAGCTTATAACACAAGTTGTCATTTATCACTAATGACAAGTTTTGTGAAACGCCCCCCAGAAATATTGCATTGCCTAGGAAGCCCAACCTGCTGTATAGCAGACGACTGCTGCGTCTTCAGAATGCTGGCAATTATGGTTCCCTGGTGGATTAGCCGGACAATCCATGATGTTGGTTTCCGAACCAGAACAATCGACATTGTCCAGCAGGATCGGACCCGCCCCGGAGCCAAATCGGAAGGAGGAGGTCATCGCCTCGGTGGCATTGAAGAAGCCTAAATTACGACAGACAACGTTTCCGTCCCTCAGGTCCCACATGTCGTCGCAGATTGTGCCCCATTGAGTGACGTAGACCTCCACACGGCCTTCGTGTGGGCCTGATCCGCCTACAAGACGGACGCTACCTCGCCCTATAACTCCGGTCTGGTTGGTACCTATGGTCACAAAGGGTATCAATAAGGTCATGGCCTCAAAGCTTTACAAATAAGTCCAAGATGCTGCTTGTAAGTATCAGCTTGCATGGTGATGTAGATATACAGTAGGCTTGAGGATGCACCATGTGAGAGAGAGGGAGGATTGAGGAGTCCTGAAAAGGACTCTCTGTAATCTTTATTGAGAGTGTGTAGTCCTGAAAAGGACTGTTTGTGTAGTCCCTCAAGAAAGATTACCGAGAGTTCTTTTCAGTACTCCTCAATCCTCCCTCTCTCTCACATGGTGCATCCGCAAGCCTACTGTATAAGTCCAAGATATTATGAAATAAAGCATAAAGCAACAATGAACATAACTTTTAAGAACCATTTTCCTTGATAGTTGGGCATATCCACATTGTAAGGGAGCTACATGTATCACCTTAAAACAGTCATTAGATTAACAATGAGCTTTGCATTGGTTTTTGACGAAAAGGTTATGAACTTGCTCAAATGCTCAAAGTCAATCGTCTCTTCCTCATATTTCAAATCTTTTGATTCTGTCTTTATTTTAAATAAAGAACCCAACATACTGTGAATAAAGAAGTAAGAATATGCTCTAAATAATACATGCATCTCACAAAGTGCTGTTTCAATTTCAGAATTTAAGACCGCTTTAACCATTACCATAAATGGCTTACTCCGCAAAATACTAAAAAAAAATTGATTCATGAATATTAGCAGAATAGATCAATTCAATTAAATTGTTACGCATACATGTACTTCTTGGACAAAATTTGGATTTTGAAATCCAAAGTACTGCAAGAACCCTATCAAACATAGGAAAAAACTGAAGCAAGGTGGATTCAATCTACACAACTATCATTTAAAACAGAATAAATGAACAGCTTATCTTTATAAGAAACATCACTAATTTTGAAGTAAGAAGATCCATTGCACTAGAAATGCAGGGTGGTATTCTCGAAAGCAGACTAATCATGGTTTAATCCACCGACTAAATATGGAATGCCAAGTGTCTGTATGAATATATTTTTGAATAATTTAATCTGTCACTAAATTAAAATAAAATATAATATCATTGTAACCCGTGGCATAGTAGCAGGGGAAACCACTTTTAAATTATTATGCCAGGGTTCAGATAATAATAATTATCAAAGGATTGACTGGCTTTACTCACATAGACCACCACACATTCTCACGTCTTATGTTGAGGTAAGTAGACTTTTAAATAATGGTCGATAGGAAGTATAATTATATTTACTTAATACATGGTCCTTTAATTAATATATAAGTATAACATTCATCATCATCAACAACAAATCGAACAGCAAAATATCAATCTCCTTTTAAATCTACTCACGGTACCGCTACTTAAATCAAGCGAGGGGGTGCGCGCGAGAGCTCTCTAAAAGTTCAACAACGAACTGGATCCGATTCGAAGTGCGATCGTCGTTGTCATCCTCTGGATGTCCAGTTGCAACTCCCTAGCTACGTCAGTCATGCTTCAGATGATTAGGCAATCACCACGAACACCGTCACTGCACATTGTTGAATCAATGAAGTTCTGTCATTGACTTATGAAGTTTCGTTCAGCATTCTGGGGCCGTCAATACCCCTTTATGTCGACTAGCGAAGAACGATGCTCTGTAGTTGTATTCTGATTTAAAGTCTTAGTGTTGCTCAGTAATCACAATGTTCCCATTCTGATTCGGCTTCGGAATCTGAGTTCTTAGTTCTGGGCTCTGTCACTATTCTCCGTGTTGATTCTCAATCTGACTGATATAGATCTTCTCAATTCTTCTAAGAGTCTGAGTTCTACATTTCGATTCTCAACCCGACTCCAACGATTCTTGTCAACTCTTCTCCGTTGATTATTCTTCGCCGATCATTCTTCTCAGGAGCTCTCCTCCTTACACGCACTTATATACCACATTTACAATACATGGACCAGTGCAGGACTTTCCTAAAATGTTATTGGACAACAGTTTGAGAAAGTGGGAAGGGTCATACAATATTCAATTCCCATTGGTCAACAGGTCCACTTCCTTTCATGTTCCCCCAAACTTGAATTCAGGGAAATCCTACCAGTCATACAGTATAGCCCGAAACATGACTCATAACTTTGATGGATTAGGCCATTTGACCAGTCTGTATTCCTGGCCGAAACCAAAACAATAATAAAATGGTCAAGGGTGGGTTTATGTTAACCCTGGGGGCAATATGTCTTTCTACACAGCCATTCTCAATGTTTTCAAAGTAGTAGTGGGCGTCATGATTCTCAGTATCATTATATGGCTGTATTCCTCTTTTGTTATGTACTAAATGTGAACAGAGTGAACTTTCCTTTAGGGTCATACCCTTATGGCCGTTACATCATTATTAATAAACAACAATATATCTAGGATATAATTATGTTATCATGGTAATTTAGGGACATATGAAATTATTCAAAAATATATTCAAATGGACATTTGGCATTCCATACTTAGTCAGAGGATTAAACCATAGACTAAAGTTAGTCCGCTTTTGAGAATACCACCTGCAATGTTTAAGAGGGGATGTGATTTGTCAACTCACCCGAGTCTGCTGGTTCACTGCACCTGACACCTGCATCCTCTCCATGATTGCAGTTCATCTGGGTTGCACGCTCGCACATTTCTAGACGGTCCTCGTCTCCCGTACAGGCTAGGTTGTCAAAATGGATACTTCCTGATCCTGCCCCAAAGTGAGCTGAAGAGTAAGCGGAGATGGCTGGCCCAAAACCCAGCTGTTTGCAGACCACTCCGGCTTCAGTCATGTCCCACATGTCATCGCACACTGTTCCCCAGAGGCTGTTGTGGAAGACCTCCACGCGCCCCTCGTACATGTTCTCCCCATTCCTGAGACGCAGATCGCCTGCTTCTGGTAGTTCTCCTGGCATTCAATGATAGGTAAGGGATTGCTTTACACAAACATTTTTTTTATAGATGATACATATTCCATACCTGCCAACATTTGAAAATAAGAATTAGGAATTTTTAAGACAGTATGCCTTCGAAAATAAGAAATCCACTTGCAGCCGCAGTGTAACTGGCAATACGCAGTAATTCTGTACCAAAAAGCTAATACAAATTTGCTACTCGATAATGCAGCCATTCAACGCACACAATAAGTGAACTCTTTTTTTTTTCTTTTTTTTTTTAATTGAAAAATCTGAATATTTCAGATTTTCAGGTCCTAGAAATCCAGAATCCAGAGAAACAGAATTATTCTGGATTATTTGTTAGGGTTGGGAGGTATGATATTCATGTACATAAATTTACATAACCAGTAATACACAATCATGATCACAAGTGATTATTGTCAGTGCTTTCAAGAAAAATTGGCTTACAATTTTTCCCCTTGATATAATAAGGTTATTCTTTTAATGGTGTCACAGTTGGGATCAGATAGGACTATATTAGGTGTCAACATGAAAGTTGGAACTGACTCTTTATGCTTGCATAATAAATTTCATCTCATTGCTTTCAACTGACTACCTAATCATTGATTAACAATCTAAAATTGTGTCATGCCAGTTTCTCTCGAAAAGCAAGTCTATTACCAGAATTCAACATTGACATTCACATCATGAACACACAACACATGACATTTGTTTCTAATTGCTCCAACATACGCTTACCGGCTGAAGTGGTATTGAAGGAGCACCTCACCCCGGCATCTTCCGAATGACCACAGTTGTGGACGGTTACTCCACTATGGGTGCACTGCATCAGCATCTCTTCGCTCCCTTGACACGCCACATTGTCCAGCATGATGGCTCCAGTGCCCCGTCCAAACTGGGCCATAGGGGTTGCATCCATGGCGGGGCCAAAGCCAAGCTGCCGGCAGACAACCTGGAGGTAAAGATGTCCATGTAAACAGGTAAGTTAATCAAAACAGAAACAAAGGTCTGCTTCGACATAGGAGTGGACTACACATTCTGATTTAGAGGTGTCGTGGTCAAGTGGATATGCCACCAGACTATGGATCACAAGGTCCACGGTTCAAGTCCCGCCGCGGCACTGATGTCCTTTGGCAAGACATTGATCTACATTGGCCACTCTCCACCCATGTGTTAAATGGGAACCCGGTAGGATGCGAAAGCTAATGTGGTTAGATTAGCAAGTGGCGCTTGTAAAATGGCGACTGGCTGGAATGCTCCCAAGGGAGTGGAAAATGTGCATACATTGTGTTGCCTGAATCCGATGACCGGGGTTATAATATGCTGCGCCTAGAAACAAGTATTAGGCGCATTATAAATGTGAGCTATTATTATTATTATTATTATGCCATATTGTCAAGTATGATGGCTCCAGTGCCACGCCCAAACACGATAGAAGTTAAGTTTGGAGCTCATGTCTTGAATTTAGCTTAGCAACATGGAACCCCCGACAAACAAAACAAAATATTTGTTGTGATTGGCACACTTTACCTGAGCATCCTGGATATCCCACATGTCATCACAGACTGTCCCCCAGGCATCATCAAAGTAGATTTCTACCCTTCCCTCGTAAATGCTTTCCCCCTGGACCAAGCGAACCTCTCCATCAGTAGCATTCCCTGGGGCAGAGGTTGGCATTGCTATATGCAGAATGACACATCAAGAGTTATTCATTTAAAAGGCCAGCTTTACAGATGGAAGCATTTCCTGGGGCAGAGGTTAACGGGCCCAATGCAGAATGGCACAGAGTGACATATTTTAAATGAGAATGACGAAAATTACAAAAAAAGAGCACCACAAGTGCCATTTTCCTTGCTATTAAGCCTGATCAAGGCTCTATTAGGGGTGTCAACTTGATAGAATCATCTGACATAGTAAAAATGCCGAGATTGTGGGTAACCAGGGATGCCAGTTAGAATTGATCAGAGGGCCTGAAAATCACCTAGAATGAGTTTGGACACAAAAAAGCTGAAGCATGGTATGAAAAGAACTCGCATCCCTGGGGTAACGTACATGTATGGAACAAAATATCTTGGAACTGCCCAACATTGGAAGAAAGATTAAAGATTAAAGACCTGGATCTGTGCAGACAACTCCTGCATCCTCAGAGTGGCCACAGTTGTGAGTTCCGACACCGCTGTGACGGCACTGAAAGAGGGAGAATTCTGTGCCGTCACACGCAAGGTTGTCCAGGTAGATGGGTCCAGACCCCGCCCCAAAGTTAGCCCCCTGGGGGGCGCGGATGGCAGGGCCAAACCCTAACTGCCGGCAGATGACGTTCCCCTCCTGGGTGTCCCAGAGGTCATCGCAAACTGTACCCCATTCTCCATTCAGGAAAATTTCCACTCTGCCCTCGAAAGGAAACAGCCCCCCAACCAACCGTACGTCACCGGGGGTGCTTCCGTTTGCGTTTGTTGTCATCGTTGGTGTAAGAATGGTGGTGGTATTGTCTGTGCAGTTATAGGAAAGATTTGAATGTCATTTATATCCAGTAATAGTACTAAGGGTCATTGTTTATTAAAGAATTCAAGTGCATTCAATTACCAACTCTATCAAACTAAAAATAAGAGTTAAAAACTAGATATACATGTAGTACACCATGATTAAATATTTCCTGAATGAATTCATGATGCATACGGCTTAGGGGATTGTTGTCCTTCTGGTTGACATGTATGACATTGCTAGTCACTTCGTTTCTACATCCACACCTTAGGTTTTTACGCCTACAGTTCTATCTTATTTTGGTTTGCATATGAAGTTTATACTGATAACATTATCTTTAAAGGAGGCATCAAAAACCTGACACAAAACATACCTGGAGGGATACAGGAAACACCTGCGTCCTCCGAGTGTCCGCAATTATGAACGCCGAAGCCGCCATGTTGACAGTTGAAGACGGTCACCTCAATTCCTCCACATTGGACATTGTCTAAGATGATGGGGCCGGTGCCTAGTCCGTAAGCTGCCCGAACCTTGGCTTCGAGGGCGCCGCTGAAACCGAGCTCGTGGCAGACCACCTCAGCATCAGACAGGTCCCAGCTGTCATCACAGATGGTTCCCCAGCTACCCTGCCAGAAGATCTCCACCCGTCCTTCGTACTCTGTTTTGCCACCCACTAGACGCACACTCTCCTCCGACTCTGGAAAACAAAAACATGGCAGATTTCATGATTATCAAGATATTTTGATGTCTGGCTAGAATGCTCCCCAGGGAGTGGAGAATGTGCATACATTGTGTGCGGGTAAGCCTGAATCCGATGGCTGAGGTAATAATATATATATATATATCTGTAAAGCGCTTTGAGAGGGCCTTTAATCCTGAAAAGCGCTATACATGTATAAGAACTAGCTATTATTATTATTCTGCACACCTAATGTACTGTTTGCTCTCTAATAATGTGGCCTTCATGCATAGTCAACAAGGAGATAACTGTACCCACTACAATAGCCTATGTACCGCACTAAGACAAAAAATTACTTACGGTATGCTAGGTACTCTCTGGATATCTATACCCTTGTACAAATCGAGTGATCTGGGGGTGCTTCACAAAACTTGTCATCAGTGACAAATGACAGTTTTTGTTACAAGCTACTGAAATCCTTGCTTCTGATTGGTTGTCAGCAGATTTGTCACTGATTTTTGGCATTTTTCATTGAAAAAAGGCTTTGTGAAACGGGTCCCAGGCCTTGAAGCATCCCAGGGAATAGATTTTCCATCATCTTTTATTAAAGTTAGCATTTTCCCTTTTACAAGAGGTTATACAGACTTTCGCGCCACGACAACACTCCCTCCCTCGATTTCAATGTAGGATCAGGTTCAGGTATAGTGTTTGGTCCATGCAGGCTGGAAGTTGGGTATATAGTTAGTGAAGGAAATTGACCAGGACGTTATAGAGTACTGAAGCTGTGACATCAAAATCTATTTTTATAGTTTCTCAAATATATTTCAGTGTTATTTGCTCTGGCTCCTAACCATTACAAGCCAGAGCAAATAACACTGAGTTCCTATAGGAAATATATTAATTCAGATGGTCATATCTCAGCCAATACTTAACATATTCAATTGGTTTTCGACATTTGGACATTATTTTTGATGCTCTTTTGGGAAATGAAGAAAAAATTGAGAAATTCTAAAAATATATTTTTTATGACGTCACACTTCACCACTCTATTGACCCCGAGCATGTGTCGTACAACCGACATAATACCATTAAGCAGATAGATACCTGCTGTTAAAGCGCACGATACGCCTGCATCTTCCCCATGGTTGCAGTTGTGATTGTTGAGTCCCCCGTTTGAGCATTGAGACAGGAGCATCTCTTGGCCCGTGCACTGGACGTTGTCGTAGACGATCGGTCCCGTTCCTGGACCAAATCTTGAGCTAGAGTAGAAGTACCTGGCGTAGCCATAACCCAGTTGTCTACACACAACCTGCGCACATAGTAAAGGATTGATTCATTGATTGATTGATTTATAAGTTTACTCTGATGCTATGAAATCAAGTAATTGCTTGTACATAAGGCCTACAAAAAAAGATGTTGTATTGCCTTAAGGTGCCATAACATGGGTCGGTCTGTCGGAAATCTTTTCGTCTTTTTTTCTCCTTCTTTGGGCTGATATTTCTCAGTTTTGAATGCTTCAATACATTTTTTTTGTAAAAACCAGTAAAAAAAATTAATTAAAAGTCGACCGTAGATTTCAAGATTTTGGGGTCGGTCACAAAGGTCAATACAACATCTTTTTGGTTACGCCTAAGTACTGGTAGTAATCCATGATCCTTGAGTTTTTCAGTCCTATACAAAGGACTTGGTAATTATAAAGAATTAAACCTCATTGAGGGGTACTATCACACTGACTTGGTTTCAAAGCCTGCATGGATCTCAGTTCTGAGGTCATTGTGCCTCCTCTCAAATTTGCATCAAACATGGTATTCAATATACATGTACATGAACAACAATGAATATTATTATTTGGGGGTAAAGCACACTTCTGATAAGAGCCCAGGAGCTAAAAACAAAATTGAAAAGAATCACGTACAACACGTACAGGAATATTTAAAACTAGATGGAACTTCGACTGCGCGCAGTCGAAAATGATGCCTCCGTCAATAGAGCAATTTTACAAACCAAAACAGAAGAAATTTTTCAAATTCAAGTTCAATTGTAATCCATTAACAGGTTCTCAGAGTATCGTGATTACAAGCAATTTCTCATATACATATATGACCCTTTGATCTTTGACCTCATGACCCTAAAATCTACTCAGTTCATTGGCTCTGCAAGATGTACTGAGTTAAATAGTAATCCATCTGTCAGTTCTAATGAGAATGCGTTCACAAGCTATTTTTGCACACATAATGAGCCCATGACCTTTGACCTTTGACCTCATGACCCAAGAATCTATTCTGCTCATTGGCTCTGCAAGATACATACATGATCTAAGTTTGGCAGGAATCCATCAATCGGTTCTTGAGATAACGCGATCACAAGCTGTTTTTGCATACATAATGAGCCCTGTGACCTTTGACCTTTGACCTCGTGACCACAAAATCTAGTCAGTTCATCGACTCTGCAAGATACATACATGACCAATGTTTGGCAGGAATCCATCAATCCGTTCTTCAGATAACGCGATCACGAACTGTTTTTGCATACATAATGAGCCCTGTGACCTTTGACCTTTGACCTCGTGACCGCAAAATCTATTCAGTTCATCGGCTCTGCAAGATACATACATAACCAAAGTTTGGCAGGAATCTATCAATCGGTTCTTCAGATAATGTGATCACGAGCTGTTTTTGCATACATAATGAGCCCTGTGACCTTTGACCTTTGTCCTCGTGACCCCAAAATCTAATCAGTTCATTGGCTCTGCAAGATACACACATGACCAAAGTTTGGCAGGAATCCATCAATCGTTTCTTCAGATAACGCGATCATGAGAACGGGACGTACAGATACTTCGTAACGGAGGCATAAAAAGTGAAAGATGGCTTTTGAGGAAATTCTAATAGAATTTCCTCAAAACGATCTCAGAAACTCAGGTTCATAACATTTCCCATCAAATTAGTTTGACAGATACAAGTTTCAATTACATTGCATGTTTTAAATCTTAAAGCCCCTCTACAGTATTGGGAGCCCCAGATTCGCCCAAAACGTGATGGCAACATTTCACTTAAATAATATCATGTGAAAGAGGATGTGATTTAAGACACACTTCTGCAAAGATTTTTACATAAAAAATGTGTTTGAAGACAAATATTGATAAAAGAATACCTAATTTGGGTTTTTTGTTATACTCAGAAAACCCAACTTTAAAGGAGCTTTAAACATCTACCGGTATTGGAAATTTTGCAGGATTCTATGAGCATTCTGATTTCCAAACAATTATTTCAATGTAGAGACGATTTTGAAGTTTAATGACGTTTATTTTGAAAAATATATTTGTGAAACAAATTCTACTTCACGCGATATTACAACCCTAAAGACTACATGTATATTTAATAAACCTGTTCACTACCAGATTCTGTAAAACCTCATAGACTTTAAACAGGGTACTGGATGGCCATCCGGTTCCCTTGATCAACGGGTTAACCAAAATATTACCTGAGCATCAGTAAGATCCCATAGGTCATCACAGATAGTTCCCCAAGTTCCATTTACCAAGACCTCAACTCTGCCTTCATACGGATTGCTTCCATTGATCAATCGGACTGCAGGAAAAAGGAGAAATCATTCGACACAGTCCTTAAAGCCCAACCGCACTAGTTTGGCCAAGGAAGGATTAGACCTCCCTGCATGGTCACCGACTGGTTATCTCATAAGAAAAAGAGGATCATGGGGGACCATGGTCACCGATAAGGCATTGTTTGCTACATAGAGGGCGCAAGTAGCTATAAGTAGTGCAGTGGGGCTTTAAAGTTCACTTGAAACTTTGAAAACTTTAAGGTGTACCGATCAACAAAACATATTCTGCTCTTGATGTAAATTAGGGTTTGATGTTGCTAAGGTGTGGTCAAGCTATGAGCTTCAAATGTTTCTTCTACAAAGAGATGTTGAAGTTTGCACTCCTCGTAAAACATCTTCTTGAGTACCGGTATACTACTTATGTGCTTACATACAGCTGATGCTTCTTATTTGTAGCTATACAACTTTCATCTCACGCAATCAAGATCAATTTGGTTTCATCAAATCTCTTCTTACATTGCGTTTATCCTTGATTTGCAAAAAATAATTCATAATTATACAACACAAATGGGCACAACATACAATGCACATTGTTACACATTTAACCATGACTGGCTTGTGTACAACTACTCCATTGTTGACTCAACTTTCACAGTCATTATCGCAAAGCTGATTTTGGGTTTAGAGATAAGGAGTTGCAACTGACCACTTGGTATGCAAGTGATGCTCCCCCTTCTCGAGAGTCTCATCTCAATCAGTGGAGATAAATTTGCTAAATAGCCCCCTTCTCAAAATTACATATTTATATTTGATATCACAAAAGTTATACATTAGGCTTGCGGTTGCACCATGTGAGAGAGGGGGAGGATTGTTACAATCACAAAAGTTATTTTTGGTTTCATAGAAAACAGATGCAACTCTCCAGCTGGGGTACAAGTGACACGCAGCTATCCTCCTCATAATTCCCATCCAAGCTAGTCAGGATAGATTTCCTACCATTATAATTTCCTTCTCAGAATTACACTTTAATCTTCAAAACTGATTTTGAAACAAACAGGGACCCGTTTCACAAAGCATTTTTTCAATGACAAATGACAAAAATCAGTGACAAATCAAAAGCAAGGATTTCAGTAGCTTATAACAAAGACTGTCCTTTGTCACTGATGATGTTTTGTGAAACGGGCCTCAGGTGCGACTTACCGGTTGGCGCACAAGTCACACTGACCGGTTGCGTACAGCTGTCTCTCTCAGGACTCCCGTTGCATACAGTCAGGGTGGACTCGGTCCCGTCGCATCGGTAACTCCTTGGGGTTGTGATGGCAATGTCCTCCGTGCCATTTGTAAGGGTTGCGTTGGCAGACATGGCATTGGCCATTCCAAGCTGCCTGCACACCACGTTGGCGTCGGCCATGGTCCAGTTGGAATCACAGATGCCGCCCCACACCCCGTCTCTCAGCACCTGGACGAATCCTCCGTAGGCACTGGTCCCGTTCACGAGTCTCACTATTGATAATAGTAATTTATGATGATAATTCAGTCAAACCTGCTTTAGTGACCACCTGTCTACAAAGACCACCTGTCTACAAAGACCACCTGTCTACAAAGGCCACATTTGTTGTTTCCCTTGAAAATGGTTTCTCATTGAATCATGCACTAAAGGAACCTGTCTACAAAGACCACCTGTGTACAAAGGCCACTTCTTGTGTTTCCCTTGGGCAATCGCTATAGACAGGTTTGACTGTAATATTAATAATACTACTACTAAGAATAAAAGCAATGATGTTCATAATATTAAGGTCATACATGTACCACCAAATTGAATAGGTCTACTGTCTGTGAGTACATCTAAGGTAGTGTAGGAGTTTAATTATCTAGCCTGTAGTTACAGCATTTAAAGTAAAAATGCATTTAAAGTAAAAACGCTGGCTCATGATTAGGTCTGTCTTTATAAGGATTGGGTTATTTTTCTCTACCAAAGTACACCTGGGTAGAGAGAGAGAACTTTAAATAAAATACCTTGACAAAGGACATGCCATGGCCACGTTCAAGCAGTTCAATGTCCAATTATCCACATCAAAATATTCACTAGGAAGAGGACAGGGTATTGAAGGCAGTTAACACCCACATTTCCCCCTAATTGCTTTTCATATTACTCCCTACAGACCAGTCCTGTCCTTAGAACTTATCCAGGGCGGTGTTTCACAAAGACTAAGATCAACTTTAAGTTGGACTTAACTATGGCACGCCTTTCATGCCACTGGTTGCTCTCACCATTGGTCTCTCAATTATGATCTTTAGATAATAATTTTTTCTTCAATAATGAACTATCAAAACAGGTAAATTCTGTAGATTTGTGGCCACGATTTGTACATCCCTTGAGAAACCAATGCCAGGAATGGTTAGAGGAACTTGTGGCATGAAAGGCCTGCCATAGTAAAGTTACACTTAAAAAGGATCTCAGTCTTTGTGAAACACTTCCCTTTTATATCTCCTCATACTACTCACAGGGTAAGGCACACTTAACGGCTGCTTGCTCTGGACATCCATCTCCAGTCAGGGGTGAGGTCTGGCACTGACCGAGGAAGGCTTCGTCCGACAAGCACTCGACGCCGGACAGGAAGATCATCTCGTTGAGGGTCACGTTGCTGTAGCGGGATGCGGGAGAGACGCTGACCGCGGGTCCAAGCCCGAGCTGACGACACGCTACGTGACCGTTGGCTATGTTGAAGTCCTGGAAGCACACGGCACCCCACTGGCCCTTGACGCTGATCTCAAGCCTGCCCTCGTTGGCAACTCCTCCGTCAATCAAGCGAACTTACATGGAACAGGAATGATGGAAGAAAACTTAGAGTCACCTTCATGTCAATATTTCATTTAAAGGAACGAACTAAAGAACAATCCGCTGAGTGGCTGTCAGACAAGCGTTTGCATGCACACATGTCATAGAGCAAACTTCTACTAACTCATTTCTACAGACGGTTTTGATTGCTGTTTACATGTTATACCATTTTTCAAATGCAGGGATTTCTCTCTTCATCGACTGACAAAAAATTGTTGCTTTTAAAGGAGATTGACAGCTACAAAGAACAGCAAAAAATTGTCTTTCACTGTAAGACATACTTGCGTTCAGGTTTAAGAGCAAATCAGCTGTACATCAACAAGTTTACTCACATGTTGTTTTCATATATACACTTGAAATATCTCTTGCCAGAAGAAGAATTGAAAACTCATATTGTGAACAAAAGACTAGTGCCTAACCAAAAACAGTACAGAGCTAAACAATTTGGGGTGATTTGTCCACTTGAAAACAGAAAATGAAAAACTTTGATGATACTGGTCCCTGTTTCATAAAACTTGTTATCAATAACAAAATGCGAAATTTCTATGACAAATTTGCTCTCAGCCAATCAGATGCCATGATTTCAGTAGCTCATAACAGTTATTGCAAGTTGTTATTGGTAGCATGTCTTATGAAACGGGGCCATGCATGGTTTTACTTGGTGGTCGACAAACAACGCCGGCATCCTCGTTGTGGTGGCAGTTGTGGGTATGGATGCCATTGCTCGCACAGTCCAGCAGGGAGGGCTCCGTGCCGTTACACTGCACATCATCCAGGAAGATCGGCAGGAAACCTGGACCAAAGATGGCGTTCCTGGCCGCAGCTGCAGCCGTTCCAAGTCCAAGCTGGCTACATATTACCTACAAATTTGTATTTTGTTTACAATGTAAAACATTAATCATTGTGTCCGTCACATTTGTCGCTAATTACTGTTAATACATGTACAGTCAAACCTGCTTTAGTGACCACCTGTCTATAAAGACCACTTATTGTCTTTCCCTTAGGCGGTGGCTGTAGACAGGTGTGACTGTATATGGAAAAGGGCCATTTTGTATCCATTTTCAATATAAGCAGCCTGTTTGTAGCCATTTGCTTGACAGTACCCACTTTGAGAGGCAACACAAAAGACAAGAACAAATCTTCTTGTCTAGTGGTATGGGATACACTACAAAATAGTGAAAATGGATAGAAAAAGATGGAAAAAATCAGAACAGACAGAAAATAGGGAGAGTCCATAACAATAGAGACATTGGCTTTATCTCACTGTGATAAAGAAATTAGTTCAAACATACATTACCTGTAGATGGACAAGTAAATGGACAAATTATTAACCCCCCCCCCCCCCCAAAAAAAAAAAATAAATAAATAAATAAATAAATAAATCATTTCCAAAGCAAAAACTCCATTCCTCTAAATCTGTCATCGATTGACGACACTGCAGAACTTCTCATGAAATTAAATGTGGTCAGTGGTGCAGGAATCAAGACTCTCAGGCTGGAGGGAAGCACAGGGGTTTGGGGTTTTCAAAGACAGTGACAAGCCAAGCAACAAGGGTATCGCAGTTTAAATGGGAGGCACAAGTGCTAACTAAAATTCTCAGACGAGCAATAAAAAAAGGGGAGAGTATGGGAGTTCTGTTGGAAGATGGGGAGGCATTGAGGGAATATAATAATATTCTGTGTTTATATAGCGCTCAATACATCGATCCAACGATACTGTGCCAAAGCGCTTTACAGATATATTATTACCCCGGTCATCAGATTCAGGCTTACCCGCAAACAATGTACACACATTTTCCACTCCCTGGGGAGCATTCCAGCCAGTCAAGCGCACACTTGCTTGTCCAACCATATGAACTTTCGCATCTTACCGGGTACCCATTTAACACCTGGGTGGAGAGTAGCAAGTGCAGGTAAATATCTTGCCAAAGGATATTAGTGCCGTGTTGGGAATCGAACCCTCGACCATCGCATCTCCAGTCAAGTGCCTTAAACCATTCGACCACGACACTCCCACATAAATATATAATACGAAGCCATACCTGAGCTTCCTCCAAATCCCAACTGTCGTCGCAAACTGTTCCCCATTGTCCGTTATACTGGATTTCAACACGTCCTTCAAAGATGTGGTTACCGTTGACTAGTCGAGCAGCTTTGCTGATGTCTAGATAAGGATGACCAAGAGATAACTAGTTTGTTAGTGTCCGTATCATTCACTTAACTCCTTCTATACCATGAATTAAGTTTCTAGAGTAAACATTTGATTGTTTCAATTCGTTGCTAAATTAGGCTTCAAACATTTTTTGTGAGAGTTGATTTTAAATTCTGTTTTGGGAAGAATTTAAAATGACTTGCTTAGACGATCAAAGTGTTCAACACTCAAGTTGTTTGGCAGTATTAGGCGTGCATAGCATGGGAGGGGTTGAGCAATTAGAGCATTTGCTAGAGTTGTTTTTGACATCACTATATAGACTAGGTGATGTGGATCATTCACTTTACTCCTTCCATACCATGAATTAACTTTATACAGTAAATTTTTATTTCTTTGTTTCGTTGCTAAATTGGGCTTCAAACATTTGTCATGAGAGTTAATTTTAAATTCTGTTTTGGGAAGAATTTAAATAGACATGCTTAGACGATCAAAGTGTTCAACACTCGAGTTGTTTAGCAGTATTTGCCGTACATAGCATGGGAGGGGTTGAGCAATGAGAGCATTTGCTAGAGTTGTTTTTGACATCACTATATAGACAAGGTGACGTGGATCATTCACTTAACTCCTTCCACACCATGAATTAACTTGATACAGTAAATTTTTATTTCTTTGTTTCGTTGCTAAATTGGGCTTCAAACATTTGTCATGAGAGTTAATTTTAAATTCTGTTTTGGGAAGAATTTAAAATGACTTGCTTAGAAGATCAAAGTGTTCAACACTCGAGTTGTTTGGCAGTATTAGGCGTGCATAGCATAGGAGGGGTTGAGCAATTAGAATATTTGCTGGAGAAATTAGAATATTTCTGGCATCACTATATAGACTAGTTGACGTGGATTTGACTCAAGAACGTTTCCTTGCTCGAGGAAGAGAGATACTAAACTTAAGCAAGATAGATACACCTACTTCTTTTTCCTTGATAGAATTCAAAGTATCATACCATAAATCTGGGCTCCACAAAATCAATATTAAATATTTAGTTGCCTAGTTGGTAGAATTTCTTTCCAGGCAAAGACATCGGACTTGTAAAAGTCAAAAGTACTTTCCATTAATAGGACAATATGCTAGTCCATGTGGAAAGGGCCCAAGTGTCCTACAAATTCCCTAGGGATACGTACCTGGAGGACCGCAGGAAACACCAACTACACCAAGGTTGCCATCACAGTTCACTTGGTTCATGATCCCAAAGCTGCAGTCGCTAAGTGTCCTCTCCTCTCCAATACACTGTGGGTGCGCCATGAAGTCCTCATCCCCAGACAGAGGACCAAACCTGTCCAGATTATTGGTCATGACCTCAACGACCTCCCCAAACCCAAGGGTCCTGCAGATGACTGTGGCGTCCTCCTCCGTCCAGTCATCATCGCAGATCGGCCGGGATTTACCACCGATCACTACCTCCACCCTGCCTTCCAAGGGGGTCGTCCCGTTCCTGAGAACCACTAAAGAAAAAGAGAAACATGTTGCTCAAACTTCTCACGCAATCAAAGGATAGGGAGAAGGTTGAGTTCAGGGGGGTGTTTCACAAAGATCCTAAGTTGAATTTATCTCAAAGTTGGACTTAATAATTATGGAAAGCCGTTAGCATCTTTGAAAGTATTTTGTAAAAGTTATTTTAAAAGGCATAAAATGTTGATTCAAATCATTCATATTTTCTACTATCATGGTAGATTTCATGTTCTCGATGTGGAATTTATTAAAAATCTAAAATACTTGAATTTTTGCTTTTGAATATAGTTCATTATAAGGCTACAAATGGCTCTCCATAACATCTTAGTCCAACTTAGAGTTAAGTTTGACTTAAAATCTTTGTGGAACACCCCCCTTGTATAGATGAAAGATAATTTGTGAGCTTTCTCTTTCCTTCTATGTCACTTGGGAGATTACAATAGTAGAAATGTTCCCTAGTTGTAAAGGACTGATCTTCAAATACCCTCATACATTGGGGTTGTAATTATTTAATATGATGCAATATAGCTGAGAAACTCGGACCAAACTTTCTTGCCACATGCATGTGTAGTCCCATTTCTGTGCAAACTGCATGTTGATTACAGCATGCTGAGTAAATTTCCTATCCTTCTGATGATTCCAAAATCTCACATTATATGTGTCCGGACATCTAACTTTTGGAGCACTGTGTTCTTTGTCATTGGATTTAAGGCAAAATATGCATTAAGCCGCGATGAAACCTGGGGGTATTATAAGATAGACAATTATATCTTGCAAATGGATTCATGAAAATTTACATATCAAAATCGTTCTACATACAGTTTTGGTACGCATCCAGGTAACCAACCTGTCCGGACACACATCATATGGGTATACCACATGATTAACCTTTCAAATAACTTCTAGTCAGTTTACTCACCAATACTTTCTTTCATGATATAACTAGGAAACCACTGCTGAAGTTAGGGATTTGATTAGTTTTACAGATGAGGTGTGGCTAGATCATAATATTGCCTGTTTAAAAAGGGCATTAACTCATAATATTAGGTTTTAATTAAAGTTCTTTATTTACGGAGTGCAGTGCAAGTCAAAATTGTCTTTACAAACTCATTTACTTTAACACACAGTTAACGACCTTCCGACCCTGAACAACTAATAAGTACATTAGTATATCCTCAAACTTACCTGGCAGGGAGCAGGAGGTACTAGCCCTGCCGCTATCACATGCATATGCACCAACGCCATCAGCTATGGTTGAATTAATCTGGCATCTGAACAGCTTGGACTCCCCTCCGGTGCAGTTGACATTGCCGTACGAGAAGGTGAAGCCTTCCTCCTCTACGACAACGCTGGTGGCCCCCAAACTATTGCCATAGCCCAGCGTCTGACACACTACCTCCGCGTCCCTTATGGCCCAGTTATCGCTGCAAAGAGGGGTCCAGGTCTTGTTGATTGCAATCTGAACCTCTCCTTCGTACTTATTGCTGAGTCGGACTGTGGGAGAAATATGAGAAATATAAAGATGACCATGAAGAGTTAGAATGGTTGCCATTGTTTTCATTCCACTAAGTTGTCGTAACACACAATCAACCAAGCAAGAATCAACTCGGGTAAAGAAACAGTTGGAGAGCGCAACAAAATATTCAATGAAGAACCTGGGAAAATAATGTACGTAGCTGAACAGAGGTACTCAATATAAAAGAAAATAACTCAGGGAAGTCCATTGTGCTCTCATCTATTGGCCTGCAGCAGACCTCACTTGATCGGAAAATATCTGAAAGAGGGACTGAGAAGTGTGAATGTAAGAATCCAGAAAGAAGAAGAACCATAGCTCAAAGGTGAACCAATAGGAATGATATGGGATGAGGATGATCGAGTCAGGTGCAATGTCCTGAATAATAAGGAAGGGTGGACAAGAGAGACATGAGCTGGGTGGAGCTGATGAAGAGAAAACTGAAATCAAATAGAAATTCTGCTGTAAGTAACGGGAAAAAGCGTGAAAAATCTTGAAGAAAGAAGAACGTGAAAGTTAAACTTTAATTACAACCTCCCCATTTTAGGAAAGCAATTTTTTTTTTCCTGAATAATAATGAAGGATAGATGATGAAAAGAAAAAGGCAATGAGATAGAGGATGGACCCCTGTGAGGAAAACAGCAGACCTGTTTACTAATTTTATGCAAAGATTTCTCTCAAAGACTGAACAGCTTGCTAGAGGCTTGCCTGACATAGCAAATGATTAAATGCAAAGTGAATTCTTCTACATTCATTCCTCCTTTTTACATGTTATACCACCTCCTCCTGCACTTCCATAAATTCTCCCATCCTCTTCATTCTCCTTTTTTCCAATCGCTTATTTCGATCCCCTTCTAAATTTTCACTCCTTTCTCTTCTCCCCTCCCTCCCATTCATCTACTATAGCTGATCTCCTCTTCTCCCCTCTCCTCCTCTTCTTTCCTCCTCCTCCTACTCCTCCTCTTCCTCCTCCTCCTCCTCCTCCTCCTCCTCCTCCTCTTCTTCTTATCTTCTTCTTCTTCTGTCTCTCCATCAGCAAAACAAGATCAAATTAAAGGTTACTCACATTTTAAGTCATACAGGTGTGCGCCTCTCTAATGGGTAACTTTTTCACAAAAAATCCCTAAAAATGGGTCACATGGGTCCCATATTTAACAAAAATAACCCTAAATATGGCTCCGCTTTTTCAAATTTTTGAAAATCGTCAGGGTTTCTGCCATGAAAACACCTAATGATTTTGAAAAATGGGCTTTACTTCAAAAAAAATCCACCAAAATGACCCTTAAAAATGGGTAGGGGTTTCAACGCTTCAGCGGCACACCCCCTTGGAAAAAAAAAAACTAATCTGAGTACGTACCCCCCCCCCCCCCCTCCCACTTGGATTAAATCTAGTAACGGACTGTTGTGATTCTGATATAACATATTAAACCCCCAAAACTACACAAGCAAATCAACAGCACAAAATGAAGCGGCTGTGTACAATCATTGCCGCAGCCAGGTCAGGTCGGCGGCGGAGCTTCCTGGAGTTAGCCTCATCCCTGGAGTTAGCTGACCCTAGTGTGACTTTGTACAGGCAATGCTGACTGCGCCCCGAGCGTAGGGCGACAAGCCAGGCAGCAACAGCCTACCACAGGATCAGCAGCCGCGGGCCAATATACCACAAAGCTAGGCTTAGTGAAATCAACATTAATACATTGTTATTCTCTTTCACCCCTTGTTGAAACATAAGCATCATAAAATAAACTACATTCTCAACCACTCATGCAATCTAAATGACAAGAGAGAAAAAAGTAGATGTTATAACGTTACCCAATGTTTTTCAATTCGCCGATCGCGAAGAGCTGATGAATCTCGGATGAAAACTAGTTCGGGCCGCGGCTAGCTGGGTGGTTAAGGGACTCGGGTGGGGTGCACGGCCGGATGGATGCATTTGAGGAATCTAGGGGGTGCTTGCGTGTTCAAACCCCCACCCACCCCCCCCCCCCCCCCCCCCCCCCCTCTTGGCAAACAGGGGGTTTCTTTTAGAATTTTAAAGACACCCTTTATCTGTGTTATATCTATGACCCCCCCCCCCCCCCCCCCCGGCAAAAAGAAGTTTAAATGTGTTGTTTTTTTCCCTCTTAGGGGGAGTAGATGTTGAAGAAAAAAGAGTTATGTTACCTTCGATAAAGTGGAAATAAATAAACTTGTAACTTGAAACTTGAAATAATTTCTCACGAATCGGGCAAAAAAACAACAACAAAAAAGTGACAACTAGTTGCCCGAATATCGGAATCTGCATAAATAAAATTACTGGTAAGGTGGGGCGGCACACCCGGCCCCTCTTCATCCCCCTCCCTTTATGTGTTTCTCCTCCCCCACCACAAGGCCTCCGGCCTCCTCCTCCCAAGCCCCCCCCCCCCCTCCACCCTCTTCCTCCTCCTCCCAAGCCCCCCCCCCCCCCCCTCCACCCTCCTCCTCCTCCTCCCCACCCCGACCCGGCCCCATACCCGTCCGTAAATTGGCCAAGGCCTATAACAATGACGTGTTACGATAATTATATAATAATTATGTTAACAATAATGATAATAATAATAAAGATGATGATGATAATAATAATAATAATAATAATATTGATAATAACAATAAAAAATAACAATAATGATAACAATATTGACAATGAAAGTGATAATAACAAGAATAACTATTTATATTAATCAATATTGGGTTCTTGTATATTGCTAATGTCTGTCAGATTTGACTCTCCTAGCTGGCGTTCCACAATTTTGATTGAAAGTCACTATGAACATCACGGACAAAGAAGAGGACAAAATATACAGTTCCTCATTCTACTCTCAACAATATTGCTGTGGTAGAAAAAGTAACACCCCTTCACTGCTATTATGTAAAAATGTGTAGAACTGGTGTCACATAAATATTCACCTGTTCTACACATTTTTTCATAAGTGAAGGGATGTTCCTTTGTCTGCCACAGCAATTGTTGAGGGTAGAATGAGGAACTGTATATTTTGTCCTCTTTCTTTGTCCGTCATATTCACTGAGTGAGTATATATATATATATATATTTTTGTCATACTCACTTGGCGCCTCGCATATAACTCCTGCATCTTCAATGTGGCCACAGTTTTGGATCCCTAATCCATTATGATCACAGTCCAGGATCGTCCTCTCGGTCCCGTTACAGGCCACATTATCCAAATATATGGGACTCAACAGGTTACCTGCCAAATAATTAAACGTAAACAGCAATAAAAATCTATAAAATAGTTGGGTTTTTTTTAATCTTTATACGTGTACAATGTTATTTCTAATCTTCTTTTGCTTTACTGATGGCACGATCAAAAATTATGTAGAAGTTAATTCATGTCATAATGCATAAGTAAAACCATTAATATTGTTATTAATCTACGATTATTTGTTGTATCTATTAAAGAAAATGGAACTTATCGAACAAGCTACAAGCCAATTTCATACACAACCAAAATGGAGTCAGCTGTTGGATGCTAAGTTTTAAATCTTACATGTTTTTTGTAGGTTTTCACAATGAGTGAGTATTCAGAAATAGAGGATTTCGGTAGCACCATGTTATAGCTTTACTGAAAAGAGTAGTTTTGTTTTATATCGTCCATAAACAAAATTATAGAAGGTACTGAAAAAGTAGCACCCTTTAAAATATCAGTTTCATCTAAGAATATCACACTGAAAAAGCTGCCTACCAATTAAAAATACGTACCCACCCCCCCCCCCCCCAAAAAAAAAAAAAAAAAAAACGAAACACGAATTATGAACTAACTACAGTATATAAAACAAAACTGAAAATAACCCTTGAAAAAAAATTGAAGTTCTAAAAGTATGATCAGTTCTAGGGACAACGGAAATTATTTATCATTTGATTTATTATCTTTGTCATTATCATTTTGTTTATATTATAAAGTATCTATCTGAACCTAATAAATACCGTCATCCTAGTTTTTTTATTCTCATATGACAATCCTTTATCATCTTCATCATCAGTATCCTCACCGGTTGAGTCGCAAGTGTCATTATCATCATCATCATCATCATCATCATCATCATCATCATACTCATGATAATTGACGTCATCTTTGTTGCAACCAGCTCCATTATTACAGTAAATATCGTCATCACCGTCATTCTCATCCTAGTTTTCAAAACCATCATCTTCTTCACGATCACACATTATTATGAATATCATTGACATCAGTATGGTCATCTTTTGACCATTACCATAAAGAGACATCTTTATCAGGTGACTATTTATCGCGATCATCTTCTTCATTATTTACTTTATCATAAGTCTGATTATCATCATCGTATCATATCGGTGATGATGCCAATGGTTACTGTAATTACTACGACAACATTTTGAATTGAATTAAATTGAAGAAAATAAATTTAATTCAATTCAATTCAAACTAAAGTCGAAGTCATTACAGTAACCATCGACCTCACCGATACGTTCGTCACCATTATTATATAATATATCTATAATCTTTGTCATCATTTTTATATAATTATTATCCATCAATATTAACGTCATCAACGTCACATTGTCGCATCCTCTTTCTCATCAAGAAACATCCTCATCATCGCCACAATAATAAACACCATGCACCATAAGTATCGTGATCACTGAAATCGCCATCGGTTTATGGCTATAATTTTCAGTCTTCATCACCATCATGAGTTCAATCATCATCATTATCGTCACCCTGATCGACAACGGCATCGTAGCCATAGTCTTAACCCTCCCTTTGTCGTCATCATCATCATAATATCGTCATCATCACCCGCATCATCATCGACGCTTACCATCGGGTATAGTCATGCTGCCTCCCGATACTGCTTGCCCCGCCGCGAAGCCGAACTCCCGACAGACCACGCTAGCATCGACATCATCCCAGTCATCGTCGCACACGGTCCCCCACCGTCCTTCGCTCAGGATCTCGACCCTGCCCATGAACGGGCTGTTGATGTCGACGAGACGGACCGTCCCCGCTGGGTCTGTGATTGATTAATGAACATGATAGTATCGACTTGGGTCTCTTTTTCTTCATGTTTTATTACATTTTTTTAATGTCGAAAATCACCTTTATTCAATCTTAACAAAACGAACAATAATTATGAAGATCATGTACCAGTTCTATTTTGTTCAGTTTTCTCTACTAAAATTCCTCTCATCTAGTACATCGTTTAATGCACAAGTGCAAGTGGAACAAAACAAAAATAATATTTGCTAGCCAAAATCGAAGAATAGCATATTGAAGAACATATTCCGGGTAATTAAGATGCCTGATTTGTAATGCATATTGTACTCCCGTCGTAAATAGTTTTCTATTGTTTGTTTGAATTTGAACGTAAGGTATAATACAAAATATTCAAACAATAATAACTTCATGCCAAAAGGTCATTTACATTCATATAATAACGAATTTAACATTTCTATAACAAATTATTATAAATTTAAAGTATATATTATCCGAACTATCTGTGGAAAAGTGCAGGAGACCGCAATCATAAGCGATGCTTGACTAGGATGGCGGCCTCAAAGAAAAATGTTGTTGTGAATATAGTGCTTACCATTCCATCATATTATCATAACTATCTCTTCTGCTTTAATTTGGAGGCTATTCATCGTGAATCACAAAAATTAAAAAATTAAAAACATGCATGTGGTTTTTCATCTGCTATCAAATAATATATTCTTATCTTTCATAGAACCTTCCATATTTTATTTTATTGTCACCTCTCTTTCCTTTTCCTAGTCTTATGCAACTTACTAATTGCTTCTCCTTGACATGAGTGAACGAAAGCGACGATGGCTAACGATACGACCACGATTACGGACGTCATTTTCTCGTAATCGTTCCCTGACGAGCAAAACGATGACGGGTACTTGACCATAAAGTTCCGACCGGGAATATCTGCCAAACAAGAAAAAAAGGATTTATCTTTATTCTCACAAATATTATCAACTGTATAAAGTACGTCCGAGAAAGGAAAAAAAAATCCGAAAACATACGATTACTGTTAGCAAACTGAGCTGTATGAATAAACTTGGTCGTCGATTGCATATACACGTTTCACCATGCAACATTGTTTTTGAAATTGGCATTTTGAAATTCATTTGTGCCCGAATTTGATGAAACTGTTTGAACCAAAAAGTTGAAATATGAAAGCTTCAATAACGCATCAGATTTTGATGTACAGTTTAGATATGGTAAACTAAACAGACGAGCATAATCTTTAAAAGCGTAGCAGTCTCCAAACGAGTTATCAATACAGGTTCTTAAATATGTATACAGTCTAATAAGTAATAACTGCAAACAGATTATAGAATTATTTTTTTTTAAATTCTTCTTACAACCCCTCGTCTTTTACGCTCCTGTATACCAATGAGCACAACTAAGCTTTCATGAGACACAAGGTTTTAGAAGTAAAAGCAAATGAACTTTCAGTGCTTAGTAACAGTGCATTTAGTTATGTGGTCCATTAGAAGAATATCATCACGTTTTGAGGCTTCTAAATGCTTTTTTATTATTTGACGGTCTCTTCGTTCCTTTCCAAAGTAACAATATATAATTTAGAACTTCACACGAAAAATATGGTTGGCCCCTTCCCCGCCCATTTATGTGCCCCCTCCATGAAAAAAATCCTGACTACGCTACTTGTATAAGCAGTACCACGAATAATACTGGATCGGTAAACCCAGGTTAAATAAAGACAAAAAATGGAAAGAATAAGTAAAGACAGATCTTGATATAATCGGCAATGGCCTATATACTCGTACTGGTGATAACTTGATTCAATGGTACGAGGTCATTGAAGTAGTTCAGGAAGTGGCATGCCCCAATTCCAACAAGAGGAAAACTACGAAAGGAAAAGGGAGGAGAATGAGTTTGTAGCTTGCACAAAAACCTTGGGCACTTGCATGAACCCGAAATACAAAGTTGGTCACTTTCTTTCTTTTAAAATGTTTGGTCACACCAAAAGAATCTAATACTTCAATCAGCACACCCATGCTACCCACTATCCGGTACCTAGCCTTTGCTTTAACTTGATTATATTATGTCCCGTATCTATTCTACAAAAATCGCTCTCCTTGCAGACTTTTTCCCGTAAAGCAAAAATGTATTTAATTGCTCGATATTGATACCCTCTCTTGTATTTATGTGTGAAATGAGCTCTTGTGGAATTCAATTCAATGACATGTTTGTATTTTGATCACTTACGTACATGCCTCAGCTGTTGCGAGTACCATATATGTATATTCCCAGGACAATGCTGTCGGATAAAGCTGTTGTTTGTTTGATGATTTTGCTTGTTTGTAATGATATGTACCCGCTGTCTATTTTAAAATTGTAGTACTTCGGTATTTTTATTATGTAACACAGACACATGCACAGCCCAGTTGAGGTAACTTTCTCTTTATAATTTAAACATGCCTTCCTATACTTAATTCTCTCCTCATTTTTTTTTTCTTCTCTCTGTTCCATTTACTATTTTTGTTCTTTCCTATCAACTTTCTGTTATATAAAATGTAATTTTCATAATAATATCTATAATGCTCTTTCGGTAACTGTGTTAATTTATTATGGGCGTTCCCAACTCAAGCTATGCTTTCCGGGTTTTCGCCTCCTTCCGTATCTGAATTATTTACTGTATACTCTATGTCGAAATAATTGTTACATATATCATGTACATAAACATTGTGTTTCATATTGAACTGTTGAGAAGGAAATAAATGTTAATAAATACAAAATACAAATAAGAATACTTAGTGTTCTTTTGGCTTAAAGATAAAGACCGGTAGTGATAACATTGCGGTTCACTGGTTTTGGGTGCAACATATCCATTCAATATTGTTTAAATATTGCCTTCACGGGTTTAGATGACAGTACTTCAACCTTAATTCGCAAAAAAAGCAGCAATAAATGCCCAAATGTTCAATGTTGAAGTGCATTCGCCATATCTATCCAGGCCGGATCGATATGATGACTTACCAAATACACGTATATCAATTAGTAAGCGGTTTCCCGGCAAAATTTGAATCATCACGTATTAGTCAAAACATATTCTTTCACATGATTGGTAACAAGAGCTTCCATTACACTTTTTGAGAGGTGGGCGTTTCCAATACTGGTCTATACCTTTAAATCTTGCCAGTTTATTAGCTTATATTATATATATATATATATATATATAATTTATATAGCACCTTTTATATAGTCCATCGTGTAATTTGTTGCAGAAAGTTTCCAACCTCTTTTCTCCAATCTCATTTTCTCTATATTTAATTTTCTTTCCCTTTCCTGGTCTATTTTTGGTTATCGTTCATATATTTCGAGAGTATAGTTGTAAGGTCTTTCCGATCCAACCCTTGTGCTTTTAGGATTGATGCCTTCTTTCATATAACTGTCAATGTGCTCATTAAACGTGCTTATGTTTTTTTATGTATACACGAAAGTATTAAATAAATGTTAGAATATTGTTGATATGAAAAAAGAGATGGACAAAATAAATGTTACTGTGAATTGAACTTTCTTAGTTGATATATAAAGCTCGGGTTCACAATGTGTACCTTCCCATTCCTCCATCACATAGGCCTAGTCTTTGCAATCCTTTCAACCCAATTTAAGTCGGTTAATTCATAAAAATTTCAAAAGTTGTCTGATGAAAACGTCCCGTCTTATTATGCAGCCTATTACCGATTTTGACACTTTACTGTGGTAAAACTGACCTTTTTTCTTATAAAAATATACTTGTTAACGGCAATTAACAGCCTGAATCTAAAATAGTAGGTGCCGACAATTTCTACATTAGTTTATGATTCGCGTTTATGTCTATGTAGTATAACGATATTTCCGCGTAGCATATTAAGCTCAGGCAGTTAAACAGTACGATTATCCGCAGATAATGCTATAAGGAAATACTGGGGGAAATTAGACTGACTGTGAATTTACATGTGGTGTTAACGTTCAAAGCCAGGAGTGAGCTCGTCGGACACCTCCCCCCCCCCCCCCCCCCCCCTTCGTTTTTTTTTATATCCAGGATGGTTTCAATACATGCAAAGGGTCTACGTACGATACGAGAAAAGGTCACAGTACCCATCCTGGCTCTTGCGATCACTAAAGTAATAGTCTGATTTTCAGACCCTTGTACCGAATGGTCGTACGTTTTGTAATGCGCAAAGATTCAATCAGTTTTATTTGGGCCATTACAAGAATTGGGGTATCGATTGTTATTACCAAAGAAGAAGAAAAAAGTCAGACAGTCTCTCAATAGTGTCTGACAGCTAATGAAGTCTAGAAGGTATACGGGTTTTCTTGCATAATTTGAACATTAGGAAACTACTAGCGTTTACATTTCACAGATAGGACATACGTGACATTATTCGTAATTCCTGCAAAGTTCTACATAAACTGATGTTGGCTGCAATTGGGACATAGTACCTTTAAATTGCAAAATGATTATTCCATTATGCCCGCCTCTATATCACCAAAAGCAGCCATGTTGGATGACTAAGCCCATTATCTCCTTCATAATCCCGCATTGAATGATGTACATTGTACAGCGGATTTCCTACCACTTCCTTGCATTTCGGAAGTGCTTTGCCTATCTTGGCTTTCCATTGTTAAACCTCACATTTGACCATCTGATTGCTATCTTCATGTTAGCTTGAATTTATCGCAGGTAAATTACATATAGAAGTGTGATTGCGAAAAGGGGAATGGTTTCCAAACTGAATCGTTTCGCAATATCGGTGGCAATCACGAGATATTCCGAGAATTAGAGTGATAATGATAGCCAGAGCGGTTGGATATGTTAGTGTCGATGCGTGATTGTATCTACCGTCCTCGTTCACGGGAGAGACAGAGATACGGATAGAGAGAGAGAGAGAGAGAGAGAGAGAGAAGGTGAGAGAAAGAAAAAGAGACAGACACAGAAACCGAGAGATAGACCTGCCAATATTGTCAATTGAAATGAAGGTGCTCAAATATTGAGGAACTCAGTAAGAGAACTATCCACACAAAAACGCATAATAGCTCTGTTTTACAAAAGTAACAATAATACCGTGTGAGTCAAAAAAAGTTTACACCTAGAGAATTTCTAATTATTTAAAAAATCATCTATGAACAGTAAAGTATTATACATCTTATGAAAGAGTATTTTATCCCAAATCATTCGGTATCATTTTTGTGTGGTATGTGTTCACACTTGGATGAACATGAAGCATTGTTTGCGAGAGTGAAAAATCGACTTGCGCCAAAGTGATGCCTACACAAAAAAGCATAATAGCTCTGTTTTTACAAAAGTAACAATAATAGTGACATTCGCGTACAGCCTTTGAGAAAGAGAAAGAAAAAGAGACAGACACAGAAACCGAGAGATAGACGTGCCAATATTGTCAATTAAAATGAAGGTGCATAAATAGTGCGGAACTCAAAAGAGAACTATCCACACAAAAATGCATAATAGCTCTGTTTTTACAAAAGTAACAATAATAGTAACATCCGCATACAGCCTTTTGATATTACCTTTCAAAGCACGTTATACCAGGGCCTATTTTACCCCAGTCATGGACATGACTTAGGAATAGCCATGCCGGGGAACGAACCCAAGACCTTCGCATAGCTTGTCAAGTGTTTAAACCAACCGACCACGACACCTCAACATTATGCGTACTTTATTTACAGTCAGTTATAAATGGGAATTCAATTCAGTACTATTCAATTCAATTTTTGGGGTTAATTAGACAAATTATATCATCACAACCAAATGTCTGCATTTTGATAGACTGTCACATGAAAAAATGGTGAGATTGCAACATGTATGTGTCCAAGTAATACAAACATATTATAATCTGGCATAAGTACACATGAACTCCAGATAATATTGTGTATGAAGAGTTTGTCATTAACCC